GAGCAAAAAAAGAAGAAGCCTATGTTTTTGTTTCTGGCGGAAACACCGCTGTGGTAGGGTGTGTTTTTGTTCGTTTGATAAAAGTTTTGGAATAACCCAAATGTGTTCATAAGATCTGGTCTGAGGTAATGTTGACTACGTTATTCTCTGTTACGCTTTCATGATTCACTTCTCCGGTTATTCACACTTTGTATACTGTTGCTTCACAGTTAGCTTTAGCTTAAGTCGTTTGCTGTTAGCTCTGAAACAAACTTTTTTTTACTGGTTTCAACAGAACATTTACATCAGTGTTTAATTAACAAACAGACGAGAAAGTAACTCAATCAATCGATGGTTTACAGAAAGTACATAGTATTAGAAAAGCGGCCAATTGTCATATCCACAGTTGAGAGGTATTAGCATACCTGCTAACAGCTAACAAACACCTATCTATAGTCAGTGTTGTTTTTATCTTATACTGTAAGTGTTGTAACAACTAACAGCTGCTAACAGTCAGTGTTGAATTAACCCTATAAAAGTCAGTGTTACCTTATAGAAAGTGCTGTATTAACCTGCTAACTGCTAAAAGCAAGTGCTGTATGCTAACAGTCAGTGTTGTACTGACCTGTTAACTCTTAATACTTAGTTTACTGCTAACTTAAAACATTATTAAAAGTCAGTGTGTTAACCTGCTGACATTAAGTTTGCTACGTGTCTGCTTCAACCCGCGTAGTTATTAAACTGCAGACACTACAGTATGTGTTGTTATGACTTGATAAAATCCGTGTTGGATTAACCTGCTAAGATGTAAAAACTGAGAGCGTTGTTACAATATTGTGTTTGTAACAGCAGTGTCTTGTGACAGATGTACTACTATCGATATGAGAATGCTGAGGTCAGCTGCTGCTACAAATATCTGATGTTTAGCTACAACATCATCTTTTGGGTGAGTTACCTGCTTTCACACCTCTTTACCAGTCCACCTATTGAAATGTCTCAACTGTGTCAGAACATGCTTTCAGAGAGAGCTGCTTCCTGTCTAGTTAACAGGAAGAGTGTCTATGGCATCCTGTGTGGTTGAGGGTGTTGGAAACTCTTTCACAATCTGTGTTCCTGTTAGATGTCATGAGTCAAAGTTCTGTTCAGAATTTCATCAAACAAGATGAGTTTGAATGACCCTAAGGGGCCTCCCTCCTGCTGTTTTAAAGGGAGGCTTTGGAAACTTGGACCTTTAGAAAATCTTTAACTTTGACGACTGGATTCACAATAACAAATTAAAAATAAATTGTCAGAATAAATGTTCAAATATGTCACTTTGAGTGGACTTTCTTTGATGTGTTCTCTTTTGAGAAAAAAATATTGGTGTGTGTGTTCTCAGATCTGCCTCATTGCTGGTTCATGCCTGGTATTGAATCAGATCGTGTGTTGTTGGGTCTTTGTGTTTCAGCTGGCTGGAGTTGCTTTCATTGCAGCTGGTTTCTGGGCATGGAGTGAAAAGGTGAATGAACACTGTCAGCATGTAATTAACATTGTAGACATAAAGTAATACAACTGTTCCTATTCCATATTTCCCTAAAAATGTAAGTGAAATTTGTACTTTTGGTATTATTTTATACACCTACTTACATTTAATGATATGCATTATTGAAATATATAAATCATATATTTAAGTCAGGACTGGACTGTCTCCTCACTGGTTTCCCTTCCTCAACTTGACTGTTTTGGTTTACAGGGAGTCCTGTTAGATCTTACCCAGGTGACCCGGCTGCATGGTTTTGACCCAGTCTGGTTGGTTCTAGCAGTAGGTGGGATCACCTTCATCCTGGGCTTTGCCGGCTGTGTGGGAGCTCTAAGAGAAAACATCTGTCTGCTTAAGTTTGTACGTCAAGCATATTTATTTACTAATGCTTTTACATTAAAACTTCAGTCCACTAATGTGTCCTAAATTCCCATCCCCTTAAGTTACATTTAAAATAATCTGTTCACTTATGCTCTTCAGTGAAATTATCCTTCAGAGAAATTTTCTGTTAATATATATCCGTTTAAGTTTGTGAGTTAAAAATATCAGCCTAAAAAAGTGTTATAAATATTCAACACATTTTCCTACATTTTGTATTTTTTGCACTATAACTGTTCCGTATGTCTTATCATTTAGTTTTCTGGTGTGATTGGCTTCATCTTCATCTTGGAGCTGACGGCTGCAGTTCTGGCAGTTGTTTTCCAGAGCCAGGTCAGACAGTGGATCAATGACTTCTTCCTAGCAAACATCAAAGCGTACAGAGATGACATTGACCTGCAGAACCTCATTGACTCTCTACAGAGGATGGTAAACAGATTTTTTTTTATAACATAAAATTTGCCTTTCAACACAGCAGGAAACTCTAACTTTAATGTTTACACTGTATGGTGTAACTAACCAACCACTAGAAGTTGGTCTCACTTAAAGCCACTGGAACTCTGGCTTGAAATAATAATGATGCATACATGATTTCAAAGTTGAGAGAATTGTTTTGGTTTAGATTATCTAACACATCAGGTCACATTAATATTTCTCTCTGTTTCTGCATACTCCATGGTGCATAAACAAAGGGCAGCCCTGAGCTATATATGTTTGAAATGTCTGAGTCAGTCATGATTCTTTTTTGAAAAAATAGTCCTCTTTGTTGATTGGGGGGGGGCTTAAATTACCATGGGCTTTTTCCATCAAATTCTCTCTTAACAGAAGCAAACGGTAGATTGTGGAGCTCTTTGAGAAACTAATACAGTAACGTTATGGAATCACATAATCGTCACTTAGAAGCTTCAGACCGCATTTCATTAAATGTTTTTACAGAAGGGATGTACCAAAGGACCCCTCCCTTTGTCCCTCTCACTTCCTCTTTGTGTGTACGTAGACCTCTCTCACCACAGGTGCACATGGGTTGAGTGGGTGATTGTTACATGAAGTATAAAGCACTTTGAGTAGAACACTAGAAAAGTGCTATACGAATCTAAGTCCATTGTCCCCACATTGCTAAATTATTTTGTCTTTAATACCAACACAATTAAGATATACATATTTTTATTTTTCATCTGTATTACTGTTGAGCTCAGTAATCTTTAATTTACCATCAAGGATCTCTCTTTCAGTTGATAAAACTATCTTGTTTCTCTCAGGACACTTTAGTTAACCCTAAGCCTGTAGTTTCTGATGTGAATTTATTTTTCTACTTTCTAATAATTATTTAGTGTTGATTAAGTGAAATGATGAAGCATTATGTGCTTTGAACAGAACCACTGCTGTGGAGCTCAGGAGCCAAACGACTGGGATCTGAATATTTATTTCAGTTGTAATGATACCCATCGCAGTCGAGAGAGGTGTGGAGTTCCGTTTTCCTGCTGTATCACAGATCCTGCTGTAAGTTGTGACCATTCATAATAAGTACAAATGATAGTTTACCCTGCTTAAATATCAATATAAACAGTCAGAAAATTACGTAATTGATGTTTCTGTTGCTATTGATAAATCTATCATAATGCTGTTAAATCTGTTTGAGCTTTAAAGATGTTGTTTGCTGCAGGACTCGGTGGTGAACACTCAGTGTGGCTATGATGTTCGAAACAAACCAAAGGTGAGAGTTCATTTAAAGAGGAGGTTCATTTAAGTTGATGCATTTGAGGGTCAGCATGTTGGTCTAGGTGTTTCTGTAAGATGATGAGATGATGTAATCTGCAATTGGAAAGTACAGTAAGTAAGTCTTTGGAGCTGAAATAAACCCAGATATGATGATGGTCAGTGAGCGGGTTTGCTGAATGCTATCCTGTTTATTTCATAGCTTTTAACTAAAATAATAAATGATTTGACTCAAAAGTCTATGAAATAAGACATTATTTCTCTCACTAGAACATGTTCTTAGATTCAACATGTGGTGTTTAGAATGGTCATTTTGTAGTTTTTTCTAAAATGAGCCAACTGTCTGTTATCACACAGCAAACAGAACTACCTGAATGATTAGAGTTTTCTCTGTTGTAACTTCCCAATTTGGTTTTTAGTTTCATTTTTTTCAATGACTTAACATTTCTGTAGTACATTTTCACAGTGTTCAATACACTTAACATTTGTAATGCTATCAGAAACATATGGGTATTAAATCAACATACATTTTTATAGATCTCTTTCATGTTCTAACAAGAAGTAGGTCATGTTTTTTACGTGTTGAAATATGAATCTGTTCTTGGGTTTTAACTTTTAAATTAGAACATGTTCATAAATGTACTTCATCGTTCCTGTGCACAGAGAGATTGGACTGAACATATCTTCACTAAAGGCTGTATCCCTGCGTTGGAAGACTGGTTACCTGGAAACCTCTACACAGTAGCAATCGTGTTCATCGTCATCTCTCTGCTGCAGGTATGAATATAGCCTGTAACAGTACAGACAGTGTACAGTGCCAGAGTGGGCCCATAAAATGACCTTGACAGGAGATTGCTATAATAATACATATGTAACAAGTGGGATCATTTTACTTGATGTGATAGATCCGAAACCCTACCACTGAGCAGAAATGCAAACATCACAGTAAAGTCTGCTGCTCCCTGCTTGCTTCTGGGAAACACCAAAGAGTACTCACAGACTTCCTTATTTGAGCTACCTGCCTGAAAGTAAAGGACTTCTGCAAAAGACAAAAAAAGTCAAACAAAGGGGCAAGAAAGAGACGTTTAAAGTGAACTCTTGCTATCATTCAAGAAACTTAAGGAAAGCATGTAAAAAAACCACAAGTTATAATGATGTAAGCCCGGTTAATACACCTCTTACAGAATATTTCCTCTGAATAGTCCGAAGGAAGACACTGATTTTTAAAGCAACTTGTTTAGTACACTTGTATTACAAAAAATGATCCATAATCTGATTCATACGTGTATTTGATAAAACAACAATAATAACTGAGATCGAAGAGGGACCAACCTGAAACGCTCTCAGCCGTGTTGGGTTTCTATTGGCTCAGCAGATATGAATGTGACATTGGCTCACTCAATGTTTCTGTTTACCTGTTTACCCATGAACAGATGGTGGGGATCTACCTTGCAAGGACTCTGATCTCTGACATCTTGAAGGTCAAATTCAACTACTGAAGCTCCAATTGCAGGGGATGTGGCCTAAACATACAGGGGGGGTCACCACCTGCAGTGGCTAGGCCTCAACCATGTGTTACAGGACCAAGTTTCTTCAGTCAGATGTGCCTTCCTGTTCTTCCTTTTTTTTTGTCTCTCTTCCTTTTTAGCAGCTCTGCCTTATCAAGCTATGTTTTCATGTCATCAGTGCAGTCCTTCTTGATCATCACATTGCTATGGTTACAGAAACCTGAGAGAGAACATTTGTTCTCCTTTTTTTGGGAGATCTGTTGATGTTGCAGTGTTTAGTTTGTTTGTCTGTTTTATTCTTGAATGTTTCTTCATCTTTGCAACAAGAAGCTGCTCAGCACCAGACTGCCTTCAAATCAAACTGTCTCAGTCTTCTTTCTGAATGTTAATTGAACCATTTAGACCTTTGATGTGATTGGCTGTTTACCACTCAGTGCCTCCAACATCACCATCTTTGTCATCATCTTCATCATCATCATCATCAAATTGTACTCAGGTCTTCTCTTTTTAACGTTCTTCTTAACGTAATGTGTCTGGTTGATTGATCTACTTATTTCTTTGAATTAACTTTATCAAGTCTTGTATAATATCAGTTTTCTCTTTTTGTTTTTAAATACAAAACTGTACAAAACAAAAAAAACATAAAGTGAGTCCAGTAAAAGTAGTTTTATCACCCAAATGTTTCCGATTGAGCATTTTAGTCCTGTCATAATCATTTCTGTGATTCAAACAGGAAGTGAACCCTTAATGTAAAAACAGGTTTGAATCCAGCCGGGCCAATTAGAGAAAGATGAGTCAGTGATGTCATCCAAGCAGGGTTACAGAGCTCTGGCAGCTTTATGTTTATTGCGGACATGAACAATGTAACTTAATCTGTAACATTAATAATTGACGTTGTTTTGAAATGGCAACAACCCAAAACTAATAATTATTCATGAATGACAAAAAAAGAGAAAATAAATCAAAATAGTTCATGATATAACATGACCTTAAACTCGGTCATATTTCCTTGACATGGTTAATTCCAGCCTTATGTATAAAAAAAACTTACTCACTGGACTTATTTTTGTTTTTATTTAAGCAACACCAAAAATGATAGAAACAAGAGAGAACTTACACTGAACTAGACCTGACAGGAAAATAGAACAATAGAAGTGGTAAAAAAAAGAAGTTGAAATCATTGAAATGGCAGACTGTTCCTCACAACATATCAGGTGATTCCTCACCTGTATGTTTGATTTAAAAAAAGACTTAAAACTTTATTGACACTGGATTCATTTGAGTTGAAAATGTTGCTATGAATGAAGATTTCGGGGTGACTGAGCCAATCAGAAAATAATAGAACATTTTGTTTAAATTTTCTGCTTTGTGTTTATGGTTTCATTTTCATGTTTATGTTGGGAGTTTAAAAATGACCTTTTTTCTGAAGGGATTCTTTTTTTATACATAATTTTTATGTCTTCTTGTTTTCATAAAATAAAATTGAAACTTGTTTTTACTTTGTTCTTTTTTTCTGACACTGTTAAATTCAACCACAAACAAACCTTTATTCTGCTTGAATCACAGGTATAATCTCTTTTTATCAGGGCCTAACACCGCAGTGCAGAGGCCTTACTTTTATTTGATATATTTTTTAAATAGAGTCCAAGTGTGCCAGATGTAGAACATTTTTGAGGGTTTAAACATGATTGAAAACTCATATGACACTTTGCATACAGCAAAAGTGGTGAAATTAACACTCTTGCACATATGTTGCCAAATGCCTCCATAGTGCCCCTTATGACGCAGTGTGTTCACCTACATGTACAGCATTTGGTAGGCATATCTATCATGTCACAAAAGAGGACCTCCACTTCTTTTTTTTCCCCCAGTTCCAGGGGTTTTACTTTGATGACTTTTTCCTGAAGGATAACATTTCAATTCAGTAAGCTTTATTTGCACAAATGTGAAAATATTGCCAAAGTATATAAAAATAATACAATATTATTAATGAATAGCATATAAACATATAAAAAAGAATACAATAATATTAGTAATTTATTGTTTTGACACTATAAACATGATTGACTGTAACTTAAAACTACTGGCTCCAAACCATAGACTGTAAATACTGAGAAAAACTTTAAATGTTGAATGACGATGACAGGTACCTTCAACACATATTTACACACCAAAGATGCACTGTTCATTGCACCATCTACTGGACAGACAATAAACCTCCTGACTATGTTGCATCTAAAGCAAATGAAAACCTTATTGACTGTTCTGTGCTGAACACTGCGACTGCGCCACAACCCCACATGTACCACATCCCGAAGTGCGCAGAGGTTTTAAGTTTACAAACCTAAACCCACATGCATTTTCACTTTGTTTTTGTTGCTTTTCTTCCAACTTCAGATTTATTTTCTCCTGATTTAATTAACTTTCGAACAATTCAAAGCAAATGAAAAACACTACAGTAGTTTCATACATTCTTAATTATAACTTAGTTATTTGTCCATCACTGATCCATAACAACTTAAATCAAACATAACTCATCTTCCGTGTTGCAGCATCACCTCCTATCGTCAATGTTTGTGTAACGCCGGTAAATCTCCGCCGGAGGGCGCTGCAGCTCCTCAAAACAGCTAGCCTCTGAAACCTGACCTACCTACCCTGAGTCCCCTTTAAAAATCCTCCGAATACCCGTCTCCGCCCTCCACTTTTTCTCTTACACACACACACACACACACACACACACACACACACACACCCCTCTCCAGGGGAAGCGCGCGTAGCCAAAGCAGGCGGAGTCGGAAGCGCGCAGCAGCGTCGGTCCGTCGTGTCTGCGGCTCCGCGGATTCTTTCGTCTGTGTCTCGGCTGTTGGATTCTCCGGGAGCGGCTTCTCCTTGCAGTCCGCAGACAAGCGTCCTCTCTTCGGTGTAACGGACGGACAGACACTGCGGGCAGCGCAGCGGATATAGATCCGGGTTCTTATATTGCTCTAACTGCTGTGGTGGAAAACCCCGGACGGAGGCCCGCAGTGTGCGCTCAGCCTCCCGCAGGCCTCCAGCCCGGAATCCCGCTTTTCTCCCGGAAAATGGACGGATTCACCGGCAGCCTAGGTGAGTCCCAGCAACAGATCGCGCCATAAAGGTGAGCCGGTCACCTGCACGTGCACAGGCAGGAAGTTTAGCGTTGCACGCGCCTTTGACGGCTTTCCACGTGTCACTGCACCGCCCCTGCGGCGGCTGCAGGGCCACAAAACCAACTTCTCCTCATGAAGGAAAGGAGACTTCTCATAGTCTTGTACCCCCCTCTCAAGAAGAAAAAAAAAGATGTATGTGGTGGTGACGAGCGTGAGCTTGTTTTTTCAGAATTGCAGGTGTTTAGGGGTCAGGGGTCATCTGTGTGTGGTGTTTGTTTCAGGGATCATCTGTGTGTGGTGTTTCAGAAGATATCCAAATCATCACATTTATTTACCTGACTTAAAATCAAACTGTAACATTGCAACTTCCAGTTGGGATACATATTGAATATAAAGGTATACATATTGAATATAAATGGAATATAAAGGTATACATATTGAATATAAATGGAATATAAAGGTATACATATTGAATATAAAGGTATACATATAACTGTTAAGAAAAGTGAAGTTAAACAACAGATCTCTAGACTGTCACAAACACACCAGGTGTTTACAAACCTTCCAATTATTTAAGATATTTTCAAGGAACCTACAGCTGACCTACTACAGAAACATGTAGTACATTGAGTATATTCACTGACAGCTAGTGGGCGTTGAAGACGTTTCTGTCCTGCTACAGTTGAGGAACTGGTGCCATCTTCATATTCTTTTCTGTTAACCAGTATGTATTTAACAGTGGATCCTGGGATCAGTTCAGATATATGTTGCATTAATAGAAAGGCACAAGCTTTCATCATATCATTGGACTACTTTGGGGTGGCTGTGGCTCAGTTGGCAGTTTGTCTGTCAATGGAAGGTCAGGGGTTCGAGCCCCAGCCGCATGTCCTGTAGCCACATGTTCAATGTGTCCTTGTATGACACCTTAACTTGGTTTAAGGCCTAATCTCTGAACTGGGAAGCCAGTTTCTGGTCTGAACTTGGTAGCGGGCTGGTCTTCATTTGCAGGGTCTCTTGTTCGAACTGGGAGAGAGTCTCACATTTAAACTTGGAGGACAGTTGTGGTCTGAGCTACTAAGCACGTCTCTGGTCTGAGATTTAAGGGTTTGTTGTTTGAAATGGAAGGCTTTCAGGACTGTTAAACCCTGGACAATTTCTGGTCTGAACTCAGAGGACTTCCATCCTAAACTGGGAGGGTCTTTGGTCTGATATGGGATGCAAGGCTCAGGTCTAAACTTAAGGTCTTAAGTCGGAGTGTTCAGTTTTAACTTGGAGGAGAGTCCCCAGTCTGAACTGGAAGAGTATTACGTTATCTGGATGAGAGGCTTTTTGTAAATGCTTTGTTGTTAAAGCTATAAAATCGATGCACGCGACCCGATTTTCTTTTTGGTGCTTAACCATCATATTTGCTGCAGAATGGTTATAAAGGTTGATGACTGAAGTGGTTTACTAATCAGACTTCATACACGCTAAGAGGGTTGCTCATACATTGTGGACTGAATGCTGGCACGCTACGTACTTGAGTGAGCGGCATTTGAATGGCACAAACTGGGTTACTTTACAGTTGCTGTTCTCATTATTACTGTTCAGTGTTTCCCCTAGGTTTAAAGCGTTGGGGGGGGGCACGACTACGACGACGACTCAAACACTTGAAGGACTCTTGGTGTTCATGTGTTACTTTTAATGACAGCTGTCCTTTTCTATCGGAAAGGTATCCTTAAATGACTTCTTTCCCTGATTTCAGACTCTGTCCACTATCCTATCTCTACAATAAAGGCACAATTTTTTTTTTTTTTAAATTTCACCTGCAAGGTAGGGGAAACACTGCTGTTGTCTGTCTTTACTGTGGGAAAAGCCCACAACAATCCTGACTCATGAAGTAGCTGCTACCCATAATGTCTGACAAAAAACTACTTAAATTTCACTTACCAGAAAAAGGAGAACAGACTTCTCTTTCTTCTTCTGTTATTCAGTGACAACAAAGCAGGGTGATTTGTCAAAGCAACAACTCCTCTATCTTCTGCAACAGCTTAAGCCTTAATACAGTTTAAAAGGAGGACCTACATACAAATTATGTAATAATTGTGAACCAGGTTGTAAAAATGCTACAAGACAACAGTTTTTTATACTTCCATGTTGGCATCATTTCTCAGCCCTAGACGTTCCCTCTTGATTGACATCCAGTGTTTTCCCTCTCTGTGCATGTATATTTAATTCAATGTATATGTCACTACAGATGACAGTATATGGATCTTCTGTCTCGGTGTCATCATTATAGATAACTGGGTGTTAGGATCCTGTTTATCTGACTCACTCAGTAGGACTGGAAGAGACTGGAAGAGAGGAAGAAACTGACATTGCCATTGTTTTTTTCCCCTACAATATATATGGGTATATAAAAAACTTAAAGGTTGTTATGCAAGATAAAGGTAGGGTGTTAATCATATACAAATAGTTTATTCTTTAAACAAGCACCCTGCTTGCTCATGAAGTCATGAATAAGATACAGATACTCAAACAATCAAATGTGCTCAGTGGGAGAGTTTATTATTAACGAGAGGGAGACAAGGAAGTGGCTGGGAATACTGCATACTGTAGTTTAACGACAGAGAGTAGCATTATACTTAAACTAGGAGTTTCACTGAGTGAGATCTTCTGTTTAAGACTGGATTTGCAGCGTTGTTCTATTCTCACTTCTTTTCTAAATATATCAGTTTGAAGTTGATGCAGTTGTTTTCTTCCTTGAGCATCACGTTTGATTCAGCTCTTGTTTCAGTCAATGCATTTCTTTTGATTTTCTGCACGTCTTTTTAATTGCCTCGTTCCTGAAATAGCTGCACTTTTTCTTAATGTAATTAGTCTCGGCTGTTGCTGAGCCTTTGCACCTGTTGGCCACCCTACTTGCTGGCACTGGGATAAAGTGCTGCTGCTGATAACGGGAATGCACTCACTCAAAAAAGTCTTGCATAACTCAATGACTGCTATGATCATAAATCTGACACAATGTGTGACAGTAGCAACCTCACCAACAAGTTGCGATAGTAATGGTGAAACAATTCATCATGCAGCACTAACTGACAAGTATATTGAGAAGTTGACTTTTTAAAGCCTTGTCATAGGTGACAGCATATTGAGATCCAGTGTTTCAGATCAGTCTATTTAGATCAACTCTGTCTTCCAATGGATAATGGTATGGTACATAGAGATCAAATGTTTGTTTGTGTAGAAGATAGTATGATGGGATTGAGAGTTTTAATCACACTATACAGTAGATGTATAAGATCCAGTGATTCTGCCTCACAGTAGATTACAATATCAAGACTAGAGATGAACTGATTGGGAAAATCAGGGCTGAATGCCGATACTGATGTTTGAATTAACAAATGAGCCGATTGCTGAGTCTGATACCGATGTTTGTTTCATGATTTCTTGTGGTGTGAAGGCCCTGACAGACCAAGGAGATTGTCGGCTGTCGGTCCTAGATTGTCTTCGAAGTTTGTAGTCTTTGCAGTGTGTTCAAGGCGACGCCACAGTTGGTCTTCTTTGTTTCTAGTTTCTAGTTTTTTGCCGTCTGCCTTGTGTGTCTCCCTGGTGTGTGGCCCCTGGTGGGCCTTAAGACTCCCAACATGCCACCATTTCCTCTCATGTTTGACAATGAAAACAAGTCAGTTTGTTCAACGGGCTACTTCATCTGCCCAGTAATAAACCTCTTCTCTGACTCAGTACTTAGGTGTACTAGATGTCAGCATTAAATTGATTTGGCACAACAAAGAAACATCAGTTCAAACTACATTATTTGCTGATGTGCCGATTGCTAAGATTCACATCGTTACTAAATGAATCACAATGCTTTTACCTTAAACAGCAGAGGGCGCTATCTATTTATGCTTCTCTTGTTGATGTCCTAATTCAGCAGCTGTTGAGCAGAGGCTGTTGGTAGTGACAAGCAGGCGTTATCGTGGCCGATTTTGAAATTGAGGACGCACCACTGTCTTTTAAATGGTAGGTGTGGAAGTAATTTGGATTTACCAAAACATAAAATAAAAGAGGTAAGAAGATAACAGACGAGACAGACACTGTGTGCAAAAAATGCAAGAAGACAGAGAACTACACAAATAACACAACCAACATGATGCAGCATTTAACCCGACACCACAACGAGAAGCTCCAGTCATCTTCCTTTGTTCCAAAAAAATCAACATTAACCGGGCAAACCACACTGAAAAGCAGGTTTGCAGCCCCGCTCGCCCAAACGAGTGCAAGAGCCAAAGAGATTACGAGGTTCATTGTTTTTTTTCATAAAAAAAAGGAATCTTTTTCAGTCATCTCATACTTTGTCTTCATTCTCAGAATCGTACCGTGAGTTGAGTGAATGGTTACATCCCTCATCAACAGTATATTGAAGTGTCTCTATCCTTCTACAGATGACAGTATGTCTGGAGCAAGTGTTTCAGATGTCAATGACCGTCTCTCTGCTCTGGAGCTTCGAGTTCAGCAGCAGGAAGACGAGCTGACGGTGATGAAAGCTGCTCTCGCTGACGTCCTTCGCCGCCTTGCTGCCTCCGAAGTGTCTGCTTCCTCCTCAGCCAAGAAGCAACAGGGAGGGAAAGGTAACGTTAAAGTTTGAACTTCTTTGTACTTGATTTATTTTTTGCTGTATCTGCTCCAAAGCGTAAAGCAGCTATACAGCACAGTAGATCAACTTTTGTCATTGTTGTATATTATACAAACTGATACTGAAATAAATAAATGATGCCAAGTCATTGAACTGCTCAAGAAAAAGCATTTGTAAAAAAAAGTTTCTACTTTAAATATTTTCTGAGTGATTCTCCTGCTCAGACTTTATGTTGTAGTTTCACTACGTTGATATACGGTCTGCCTGAACAAAATGGTAAAGCATTGAAACTGAATGAAAAGGATATGCATCAGTGAGCTAAACAAGTTTCTAAACGGTTATGGTTTTAAGTGTTCAGGTTGACTTTGAAACTGGATGTTAAGAGCAGTGTTCTTCCCTCCCAGGTGGTGCTGCGCTGCGTGAAGCTTACTCAATGTCCTGTATCGCTAATGGAGGGAACGCTGGACGAAAGAGAGACTCCACTTCTGTCACAAGGAAGGAGACCTTGTCATCTGCCGCCAAGAGGTTAAACACACAGACACAAAAACACACACTGACACACAGTTGTTTTGAAGATTTCTCTGTACATCTCCATTTGCTGTCAGCCTCATTTTTCTGTTAACTGTTGTTTATTTTTCTCCAGGCTCTTTGATTTAAGCCTCCAGAAGGCCTGCTGAACAGATATGATCCATGTTATTTATACTATCACGTCTGCTTGTTTTGACTTAGTTAAGGGTCTAAACCAGGGAAGAGCCCTTAGACCCTTAGATCAGATCAGACACTTCAGTTAACACTGTTGAATGAAGCGATATTATAACATGTTCCACATGAGGAGGGTCATCAGTAGAATCAGTAGAGTCATATTATAAACATTGGAATCAGTGTGTTTTGGCCTCACACAGTCCTGGTTTTGTCCACAGTGGAGCAGACAGGAAGGAGGAGGTCAGCAGCCAGCGGTCTCAGATGGATTTTGGTGGTTTGAGTCACTGCAGTAGAATTAGAATTAGTAGAAATAAAGTAGATGTAGACTAGAAGCAGTAGAAGAAGTATAATCAGTAGTTTGTGGTGTCATATGGTCCTGGTTTTGTTCACAGTGGAACAGACAAGAAGAAGGAGAGCAGCAGCCAGCGGTCTCAGATGGAGGAGATCCAGGAACGTGAGGAGACTCCTCGCCTAAAGAACTCATCTCCCTCTCCCCCTTCCCCCCAGCCTTCCCAAACCCCTCAGTCCCCTCAGACCCCAGTGACCCCCCTGCCACAGAGAACAGCCCAGTGCGCTGACACCAGTAAAGGCCACACCCCTCCCAAAAGGTTTTACTTTGTAATCTGTCGGCTGGATCTAACTTCCCTTCTTGCTGACACTGCTCTGACATCTCTCTGGCTTTGGTTACTAACCCCTCCCCCGAGGACCCACAGTCCTCCTGCTTTGCAAACACCTGATCACCTTCACAGGTCCAGTACGGGTGCTCCTGATATGCTGAATAATCCAGTTTATCAGGTTTGTGTAGACAGAAAGATAAGCAGCAGGACTGTGGCTCCTCAGTAGCAGGCTTGATTGACTTTATGAACATCACCGAGTCTCCTCCTTCTCAGACCTTCTGGAGGTCAGGCTCTCCTCAGGCCTCCAGGAGATCTGGGCGTCTCATCAGGCTTCCCGGATGTCTAAGAGATCATTGAATCTCCTGGAAATCTGAGGCACCTTAGAGGTTCTAGGGCCTCATTCATCAACATCTTTTTAAGACTTCCACACTTTAGTTTGTTTAAATCAATAAACACTTTAACACTGGACTCCAAATATCAAAAGAAACAGCTGTGGATTTTAGATATTGCTGCTTATTAGATTTTATTTAGTAGAGCCTGTAATGGAAATTAAATAAACTCCACAGATGGATCAGAGGATGAAGATCCCTCATTCAGAGAAAGAAAAGATGGGGTGTAATAAAAAGGTTTGATCTTAAATCTGAGTGAAAACAGAAACAGAAGAGAGATGGTGACCTTTCTTCATTACTTTTTTTAGTTTGAATGACTTGACGCTACATTCATTCTTTAACCTGCAGGTGTAAAACCAAGCAGCATGTTACAGTGTGTAAAGGAGGGTCATTGTTGTGATTACATATTTTAATAACTTGTATTTTGAAATGTATGTATTGTTAGTTCAGCCCAAACACTGCATAACTGAATAAAATGTTGACATCATATAAAACGTGTAATTCTAGATGTTAGTCAAACACATAAAGATGCAGATTTAAGGAAAACACAATGACCAATAGTTTTGCATTGGCACATAATGTGTTTCTTTTTTTTTATACTTTGTTTTTATTTTTTTCATTAATATAGTAAACATTTCATTTCAACAAACATGTTTTCAACATAAGATGTTGACTGAATAGTCAAAAGAAAATTATCCCAATAAAACGAAGCAGCAACATCTTTAGAAATAAATACACAGACATACACACAAATCAAAACAACATATTGGATTCATTTAAATATTTCATGGGTATTGTCACACACAAGTTGGTTCTTGAGTAAGTTGTTGTTATTATTTGCTCAGAACATATCCCAGATAAGCAAACAATGATTATCAGAATCTTCTTGAAAACTGCATACATTGTTTTTAAGAAGAAAATTGATTCAATGAATGTTTGGTGAATGAGGCCCATTGAGTTTCCTGGAGTTCCTGAAGTCTTCAAAGGCCTCCTGGAGGTCGTGGTCTTGAGGTTTAAACTTTGCTGGCTGAAGATTCAGATCTGCCTTTGTGTGATTGTATGCATTTTCAACTCCCAGTGTTCTCTGTGAATCTACCTCTCTGGATCTCCTCTTTTCTAACTGGAATTTGCTGACGCTTCCTGGAGATTACAAAGTCTCCAAAGCCCCCCTCCCTTCCTCTTTTTGCTGATAGACTCAGAGTGGGCTGCGAGTGATTTTTAAAAGCTAACATTTTCTCGTCCCAGCTTCACCTAAGAAACTCCTTTTTCCTTTTCCACCTCTTCCTCCTCCTCCCCTCTTACTTCCTCCTCCTTAAGCAGGCCTCCTGCAGCCTGGGGCTTTATTTCCTGATGTATCCCAGCTCACTAACCTCTTCCTGGGTTATGTGTTTAACTTATTCCTGCTGTATTTATGTCTTTGGACGATGAAAATGAGTCATGGAGGTTTATAAGCATCACAAACTGAATCTTTAGCATTAAGAAAAATATTTTACATTTGATAACCAATTACTTCAAAGACACATTTGTCAACATCTTCAGGCTTATAATGTCAGCATGCAACACTACACCAGCTAGTAAAAAGTCCGTTTTCTGTCTGATGGGTTAAGCGATACATTTTTGGAAGTATACATCAGATGAACTTAAAGTGTGTATCCAGCAAAATGCAGTCCAGACCACCTTATCCAAAACAGAATTTAACACAATCTTTAACAGATGATTCAATTTTATTGCCTCCGCTGGTCAACCACATTCCCTCCATCATCCTTCGTGTTTCCCTTCAGACATCGTGTACCTCCATATGGCAAACATTGGCACGGACAAATGGCAGAGTGAGCAGATGTCAGAGATGATTCCCTTTGAGCATAATGTGACCTGACTCTCCAGTGGAGGTCATGACTCCTTGGATTTATGTCACAACATTCAACTCTAAACTTTTCCGTCATTAAGCTTAGTATGAAAACAATATTTTTTTTCTTATCAACAACTTGTGTTTTTTCAGTCCATTCTAATCCCCGGTCAATTATTCTGATCACATTAAAAAACATGTATTTATTAAAACTGCTGAGAGACCCAGGTCCTTATTTCTGACGAGGCTCTCGGACACAGTTATATAATAATAGATATATATATATATATATATATATATATATATATATATATGTATTAGTGATATGAACATAATCACTGTGACGTCACCCGTTGGTGTCTGAAGCAGACGTTTGAAGCCTACTGACTGCTGTCTCCATATTGGAAATGCTTTCTCAAACTAACTTTCTGTCAATCCAGGAAAAAAAAGCATAGAGTTGGAGCTGAGGTGGGCCTTTAGCTTACTAGCAAAAAACTACAACACGCCCACCCGTAAGTGAGAACAGCCACACCCCTAATTATGCAAATTTTCTCAAAAAGAAAGAAGAAATGAGCCAATCAGACCTAAAACATTGGAGCAAGCCTCAAGTGGACACTTGTGGAACTGCAGAGGTTGAATCTTCATGCCAACACTTAAACACTTAGAGTCTTGGTCTATTTCAAACCAGTCAATACTATAAAACAAAACAAATATCAGAGATTCAGCAAGAAATTACAAAATTAAGCTGACCCAGATATCAGTGACTTTTTCCTCCTCTTCACCATTTTCATCATCCTCCTGATGTTGTAACACTATTAAGATTTGTCGTGCGCGCGCGTGTGTGTGTGCGTGTGTGCATGTGCGTGTGTGTGTTTTTCAGGGGAACAAGTGTGAAGAGATCCTCTGGTATGGAGCGCTCCCAAAGCAGCACCTGGGACAGTTCAGAGGAAAACAGGAACAAACTTGTGAAAGCTGCATCCACCTCCAAACTACTTTCTAAAATGGTCAAGAACGCTGACAGGTAATTACACAACATATATGTAGTGTATGATACATGTAGTATTTTCCCTGCAGACTCATGAAGTAAATATATAGAACGTTTACATATAGAGTAGAAATACAAATGGATTGGATCCACAACAACACATTTAAATGTAAATCCATAGTAAGATGTTTGTTTTCTTCTGTCCTCTTTCAGACACAAAGACCCCGTGGTTAATCAAGGTAAATGCACAGCTCTCATCATCTTGATATAAAAAGCTCCTATAGTTAACATCATTGTTTTCGTCATCATATGTAGAGCCAATTGAAAGAGAGCATCAATGCTGCTTCTTTGAGAATATTTGATGTCAACAGGAGTCCTCTTCTTGCTTAAGTTCAGTCTGTCATTACTCAGAGGCTGTGGTGATGATGATGCGGAGTGTGATGTTAGTGGTGATTGTGATGATGTCATGATGATAATAATGATAATTATGTCATCATGGTGGCTCAGGGGCATCCACATGTAGCAAATTTGTGTGAAGATCACCATTGAATTGGAATAAATCGCCATGGGAACACATGTTGCAGGGATAATGAAAAGGTTTTTTTGATAGGCAGTTTTAGTCAAGTTCTTTGCTTGTGTAGATTATATTCCACCTCGTTGAGTTACCTGTATCACATTTCATCTGAGATCATTTTACTACTTCATTCATTGGTAGTCTTTGCTGATCAATGAGCTCAGAGTGAAAAGACTCAGTTCATTTTCAGCTTCATGAAACCGTCGAGGATCACTGAAGCTGAAAAGGGAACACAAATAGAGCCTGAGTTCATCCTGAGCTTCATTGTTCAGGCCTCTCAGGGGTATTCCATCTAGGTTGAGTAACAGCGTTTCCTAAAAGTACACAAGCATCAGATATCGCCTTACATCGTGTAGCAATGGACGCTCCCTACACACACTGAAATATTTTGATAAGAAATACATTTCACTCACCTACCTCACCATCAGCACGAGAAATCAGGCCAGATCATTCTAAATGGAGTGTTGTTATGTTGGGACTATAATTTGAAACACGCCGATGTCGTCATAAAGCCACAGTCATACAAGTTGTCATACTGTTCAATTAAATTAGAGATAAAACTAGTCAGATAATTACCATCAACTATCTGAGCTAATGTTCTCATGCATGAGCACAATGCAGGCTCACACAAGCCCAGCTGCATTCAACTCTAAACTGAACAACCACATGACATTAGTGGAGCAGCCCTAAATAAAGTGAGAGTCTGCAGTCATTACAAAAGAGGCATTCTTTTTCTACGTTGATGGAATACCCCCCCTAGACTAAATGCTCCCTCATTTTAGTGTTGTTGTTGTTGTGGTTTGTGTTGTTTATATTGCTTTAGTTGTTTTTTTTTGTTTGTGTTAGTTGGTGTTTATATTTGTGTTGTTGGTGTTGTTGAGTGATGATGTCTTTGTCTCAAACCAGCTAAAATGTCAACACGAGAGAAAAACAGCCAAGCTGGTAAGTCCTGATGTGATGTCAGAGCGAGCTTGCAGGCTAACAACAGGCTAACATCATTCTAGAAGCAGCTGCTAACTGTCTCCTGCCCTGTCTCATCTCTCTGTCTCTCTCTGCTCGACGCCGTCAGCCTCGCTCACTCAACTGCTCTTGCTCTCCTTCAGACCGATCAGGTGATGTCACACCTGACTGTGGCTCCGCCCCCTGCTCTCCTTTACCTCCATTTAAGGTTGAACAGGTGCTACCTGAAATTGTGTTAAGCTACCAGACGAGACAAATGATTAAAGGCCCTACCAAGGGTAGAAAAAGAGGCACTGCCCAACACCATAGTATTCTTTTATTATGCAATTGGCATGGATGTCACTCTCATGTTTGTATTTAGCTGTGATTCCAAGGAGGTAAACAAAGACAGGGCAGGTGTTTCTGTCTGATCTGCTTCAACTGCTTCACCTGAATGTCATCAGTGCTGCCTCACCTGCCCCTTTCCTGTCCCTTACCTGCCCTTTACGTATACCTCACCTGTCTATCACTGTACCTCAAACTGCCCCTAACATGTCCCTCAAATGTCTCTCACCTGTCCGTCTAACTGATCTGAAATGTTTTGGATCCATTGCTTTGTTTCAATTAACCTCTGAGGTTCTGTGCTGTTGATCAGAAGATGTTTTCAATCAGACTGATACTTTTTATGTGTTTTCATAAGGTTGACATGTTAGACACAACCAGATTTCGTTGTTTATTTTCATGTTGTGTTGTTAGTTTTAAAAGAATATCAGTCATTGATGGATATCTGATGAGATCCCAGCCACCAAGTGACTGTTATCTAATCGTTTATGGCATGTAACCTCTGTCTGTTTGTGTGCTTCTGCAGAGGGAAACACCATAAAGATGTTCATGCGTGGTCGACCGATCACCATGTTCATCCCCGCTGATGTGGAGAACTACGACGATGTCCGGACAGAACTTCCCCCAGAGAGACTCAAGCTGGAGTGGGTGTATCCTTCATTCTGCACATAGTGGGGGCGATGTCACAGGACATAGATACTCTGAATTGAAGATTGACTTCATCTAGTATTGATAATAAGTTAAGTAAGGAGCACATTTTATACATTGAATTGCACAACATTGTTTTGTCTTTTTTTAATTTTTTTTAATTTTTTAATTTTTTAATTTTTATGCATTTATTGTAGAGCACAGTAGATAGAGGATGAAACTGGGGTGAGAGAGTGGAGAATGACTTGCGGCAAAGTACAGAGGGTCGGAGTCAGACCCAGGCTGCCCACCTATCTGTGTCTCGTGTTGACGTGAACAGCATTATATAGCGTAGCTTCAATGCCTGTACTGCGACCATGTAGACCGTTTACACTCCCTATTGATAAGTTCTTGTTACAACCCATTAAAAAAAACTTTGGCTTTGAGCAATTCTCATCCCCAGTAGATGTTCAGGTTTTTTCCAGGTGTTTCCAGATGTTTCCTTGACTGCCTGCAGTTATGGTTACCGTGGCAGAGAATGCAGAGCTAACGTCTACCTCCTTCCAACTGGAGAGATTGTTTACTTCATTGCCTCCGTTGTGGCTCTGTTTAACTATGAAGAACGAACTCAGAGACATTACCTCGGACACACAGACTGTGTCAAGTGGTACGAAAACACACACAAGCATAATTCTGCTGCTGCTTCCCTGCAGTATAAGCTAGTTGACATGTCTCATATGTCTTGTTTCTCTCTTTCAGTCTAGCCATCCATCCTGATAAGATCCGGATTGCTACAGGACAGATTGCAGGAGTGGACAAAGATGGACGGGTAAGGTCAACACAGTTATTTCTGCAGATGATTTTTAACAAAAGATGTAAACAACTTCTGAAAACAAAAACAGTGACAAATATTTTTATATTTCCAAAAATGATGTCATGAAATACTTTTTGTTGGTGCTTTCAGCCGCTGCAACCTCATGTTCGTGTTTGGGATAGCGTCAGTCTATCGACTCTGCAGGTTATTGGTTTGGGAACATTCGAGCGCGGTGTCGGCTCTCTAGCCTTCTCCAAAGCTGTGAGTATCACCCAGGTGCATCATGGGAATTGTAGTTCATACAGACTGCTGAACATTTTTATGTGTCCTGTGATCACGTAAAACTTGATTTGAAAAATGATTACAGTAAAGTGTTGTTGTGCCTGTTTCAGTCTTACACCATGCCTTACATCTGTCTAGTATCATGTCCTAAATTCAAACTGTCTCACATTGTCTCTCATCTCTGTCTGATCTCTGTCTCACACTATATACTCTTCTCTATGTCACACCATGCCTAATCTCTGTCTCACATCATGTCCCCATCTCGTTCTCACATCATGTCTCACATTTCTGTTTCGTATCATGTCTCAAGTCTCTTCTGTACATCCTGTCTCAAATCTCTGTCTCTTTCTCAGGACTCTGGTCAGCACCTGAGTGTTATTGACGACTGTAATGATCACATGTTGACAGTCTGGGATTGGCAGAAAAAGTCAAAGATTGCTGAGATCAAGGTAATTGCTCTGCTCTTAAATGTTTTGTTGTGTCATTTTGAGTTAGAATGGTTAGAATCAGTAAGTGGACATGTGTTTAATGTTTCATATAAAAATGTGACTATTGAGGTCAGGTTATAGTTGGAATGAAAAAGTCATGCACACTTGCTCTTAAAGGCAATAAGCTATTGTGGGTTTGTTGTTCAAGCTAGTTCTTATGGGATCCTTACTTTCACTTGCTGAGTCTGACCCAATCTAAATAGTCTTTTGTGACTGATTGAGTGAAACTGGTTTGTTTCAGAGCACTAACGAAGTGGTCCTGGCAGTGGAGTTCCACCCCACCGATGCCAACACCATTGTCACCTGTGGAAAGTCCCACATCTTCTTTTGGACATGGAGCGGGAATTCACTGGCTCGTAAACAGGGGATCTTTGGGGTAAGGAGATATTTTATTTAACTTTTTTGAAATTGAACGAGTAGCATGAATTCTCTGCAGCCACATGTCCAATGTATCCTCGGATAAGACACTTGCTCCCACTGCTTCATCTGCAGCGTATAAATGGGATTTGTTGAACTGGACACTTTGCATAGCAACGTCTGTCATCAGTGTGTGAATGTGTAGGTGTGACCTGCAGTGTAAAAGTGCTTTCAGGAGTGAAAAGACTAGAAAGGCGCTCTACAAGCTCAAGCCCATTTACTGTTTCACATGTTGTCAGGTTTCTTTGACACTTAAAGGGATACTTCACCCGTTGAAACATGAATCTGTGTTGACATTGGGTCATATATGTAGTAGAAATGTGAAATACATTTTGAAGTTCGTGCCTTCTTGGCCGAGAAAAGGCAGAAAGTGTCTTTTTGGCTCATGTGGATGAAAGACACCAAATCCCAGAATGCACAGCACCGCAGGCCACTCCCACTGAGATTTCTTCCAGAATTGATCTTGGGAATTCCTGGCAGAAAACACACTCTATGTCTGTGTCCATAGGCAAACAGTGAGAGCACCGACACTACCAGTCCGCCCCAGCTCGAGCCGGCCCCGGCTCCTCGTCCTCACCGCCGCCGGCTCGGCTGCTGCAGGCAGCGGCAAGCAGGCATAACACCTGCCTGTCTGCAGAAGTTGCCTTGCCACTATATTGCGGCTCGTAGAGATAGCCACGAATATCCGATTCGAGCACAAGACCTTCAAAATCCCCTTCATCCATATCAGTTTAAAGTTGAAACATCATTTTCGCCATTATCAGCTTTCTCCATAGAGCCTGTTAGCATAGCTACCAAGCAATATGGCGGACATTAAGTTTTGATTCTGGGAGTGAGGTCCCACCCACTGATCTGTGATTGGTCTGTAGCTTCACCCACAGCAGCCACCGATGATGCAAAATTATGATTTTTGCGTCACTGGAAGCTCCTTTTCAAACTTAGAAATACAAAGATTTCCCATCTCAGGGGAAAATGAAGGCGGGATGCACGACCATTCAAAAATACTACCAGGTTTCTAATGATACAAAGCTTAATGCTAATGAGTGAAGTATCCTTTTAAGATGTTATAAGATTTAAATATGATGACAGTAGGATGTTAACTAGTTTTGTCATCATTTGTTCTCAGATATTTGTATGCATTCCTTTATGTGTAAAGAAAAGAAAGAATACTGACCTGCATGAAGGGCAACTTTTCATTTACACCTTGAACAGGTCAGAGGAGTTTAGAAAAGATCCTCTCGGTGCAAAAACAAAACAATGTTTGAGATCATTACATAAAACAAAAAAAAACAATTTAAAAACCTAATACAGTTGCAATTTTTCTCCTTTTTAAAGAACTTAAACCAAAGGATAAAATCAACATTTAGATCAGTGATACTCAGCGCACGGCTCTCGAGCCACATGTGGCTCATTTTGGACTAGTTGTGGCTCTTTAAGGTCCTAGTTGGAAAAAAAATCCAAAGTAATAATTTAAAAAAGGGAGACATTGTCAGCAGAATTTTTTCTTTGCAAGTCATGTCAGTTTGTTTCCCACACATATTTTAGGAAAGAAAGATTTTTTTTGATTGTGGCTCTTGCAGAAATATTGTTTGGTCAGTGTGGCTCTTAAGTCTAACAAGGCTGAGTACCACTGATTTAGATGATTGAGGGTTTGGTTAAGCAGAAAATAAAATCAAGTGAATTTGATCTTTCAAGTGAATCCGTCCATCTGAGCACAAAGGAAATAACGTCCAGATAAGAAGTTTTACACTCAGATCACTCTGACTACAACTTGCAGTCCTGATAAGCACATCAAAGGTTTTAACATCCTTTCAAAACCTGATGCATACATATTGAGAACTAGATGAATGCATGAGTATTATGTTTTTGAACCCCTTCTGAGATCAACCAACAGTATGTGCATCTAACCTCCACATAACCTACAGTCAGAAAAATGTATTTAAGATTCACCCTAAGGGACCTTCGATCATCTGGTTCATTTGTATACAGCCAGCCAGTCATGTGGTGGTTGAATGTTGCTGTGCAGAGGGCAGAATTAGAGGCTTACTGTTATTTAGGAAGGATTCATAGATTGTGGATGCAGCGGTTGGTCTTCAATCCACTTTTTTGTTGTTCCACATATTTTTCAGGACATGTGTGTGAGTATGAACACTTTTAGTGTACTGCTTTATAACATCCTGATCTGGTCTAGCTTTATTTCAGTTTCTTTTCTTCCTTTCTTTTCAGAAATACGAGAAGCCCAAGTTTATTCAGTGTCTTGCCTTCTTGAGTACTGGAGATATCCTGACCGGAGACTCTGGTGGAATCCTGCTGATCTGGACCAGGAACTCGACTGAGCCACCCACTGGGAAAGGACCAAGAGGTGAGTAGGAGAATGTGGCCTGGACTGTTTGTCTGCGTTGGTACTAAACACTAAGGGACCAGAGCTGGATCCCCCTGAATCAGGGTCTTATATTTTCAGGGTGTTAGAGTGAAAAAAGAGTTTCAAACTGTGTCTTCATGGTTAAAATTCACTAAGAATGTTTGTGGAAAAACATGTTGAGCACAAAGGCACCAACTAAATCTTTTGAATACCTAAATGATTCAAAGTAAGACAGTGGGTGAATTGTCATTATTATTGATAATTAGAAATAATCCTGCTACGATACAGGACAAATCAAACTCTTTATAGAGTAAGTGAGAGAGCGTGACATACTCAGACACATCTGTGTTCTATGTGTTTGAGTCCTCTATTGAATAAATGTCTCGTCACTGCGCTGCTTATTATAAACTCTGATAAAGTGCTTGTGGATCACATCTCTTTCCTGCATCATTGCACCCTCTTTCAACATCAGCACAGGGTCATCCCATACTGAAGAGTTGAATGTAGTTTCCTTTACTGTTGGTATTGGACACTTCATGTTCTTCATTTTAATGCACATTCCCGTTTTATGCATAAACTATTTGAACTTAAACTAAATGACAAGACAAAAAAAAAGATTCTCAAGAGAGACTTGAGGGAACTGTTAAATTAGTTGAGAATGAGAGGCAAGTGGTCTGATACTCAAGATGATTGTTGCCATGGTTGCAGGGTGACTAGGTGGTCCTTCAATGCGACCCAGGGCACGTGTGCGTACACACTTCCAAACCACTGTGGACATTTGCATCAGATGCAAAGACCCTCTCAGAATTTGGTTTGAGTGATCAGATCTCAGTTTGTCCTCAGTGCATCCTGAGTGTGTTTACATCTGAAACAAAGGTTTGAATGATGTTGATACCAGGTGTCAACAGGGCTCATTTTCTTGTGTCAATTTCCAAATTTTCTTGTGCTTTATAACGTAGTGTGATCTGTTTCAACTCCAGCTAACAGTTCATATTTATCTATCCACACATTCAGATACATATTAGTAAAAATAAACTAATGTGAGCTGAAATAAATTTTTTTGATTTTAATTACTTTGGAGAATTTAAGAAGTGACTTTATCTTCCCTTATGTGAGATGTCAGTAACTCATTGACAGTAGGGTCGGACTGGTTCAAATCATCATCATGAGTTCATCAAGAATACACTTAGATTAATTTCTGGAAACAAACTGAAGCTGCAGATAATGGAAACACACTCTGAGATCCCTGAGATTTATTTAACATATCAAAAAAACAAAATGTGGCCAAGTCTCAGTAATGGTTTTAGTGACATGTTATCAAAGTGATTTAAAGAGTGGCCATGCTAATGCCAAGAATGAAAGGTTTTTATGGTGGAGTGCCAATCTTGGTTCATCAGACTTCTGAAACATTGATTAACAACAGACTCAGAGTGCAACAAACTCATCACAGTCAGTGTAAGCTCAGAGAAATCTATCAACGCATAGTTCAGGCAGGAAGAGAAAAAAAGAAGGCTTTTTCAGAGGTAACCTTTACGAACAGGAAGTGTTGTCTGTGTGGTCTGCTGCCTCCTGCTGGCCTCTGCAGCACATCAACATTATGGTGCTTAGGCATTGAAAAGGTTTATTCTAAAATGATTACATTTCTGTCCTTACTGGTGACCATCATTACTTTAATTATCGTTTAATATGTCTAACCAATTTGTGTGTGTGTGTGTGTGTGTGTGTGTGTGTGTGTGTGTGTGTGTGTGTGTGTGTGTGTGTGTGTGTGTGTGTGTGTGTGTGTGTGTGTGTGTGTGTGTGTGTGTGTGTGTGTGTGTGTGTGTGTGTGTGTGTGTGTGTGTGTGTGTGTGTGTGTGTGTGTGTGTGGGCGGGCGGGCGCGCAGCGTTCCAGATCAGTCGGCAGGTCAAGGCTCATGAGGGCAGTGTATTCTGTTTGTGTGAGATGAGGAGCGGCACTCTACTGACAGGTGGAGGAAAAGACCGGAAAATCATCCTGTGGGACCATGAGCTGCGTGCGGACCGTGACATCGAGGTCAATAACACACACACTGACATTTATACTCCTTTATAATGCTCTTAATTGAGGTCATGGGTCTGAGGTCATGTTTGTGTCTGCAGGTCCCAGATCAGTACGGAACCATCAGAGCAGTGTCCGAGGGAAAGGGGGAGGAGTTTCTGGTCGGGACCTCTCGTAATTTCATCCTGAGAGGAACCTTTAACGATGGCTTCCTGGTGGAGGTCCAGGTGAGACTACATGACACGACCATGACTCCATCATGATGCATGACTTAGACAGGCCTGTGATGTGTGGGATTGAATACAGCATATAGGGGGAAAAAAGAGACTTGACTTTGAACAAACAGCGCTATGGTCACACACCCAGCCCACAGTGCCGTCCCATCATGCTTTGCCTCTACCTTTGCTGCCAGGTTATCATCTGAACATTTTTAGGCCCTATATTCTGTATCAGAACCGAATATAGAGTGACAAGGTGTAATAATGGACTAACAGTCCCACCTTGAACACGCTGTGCCAAAGGGGCCTCTGTGTATTATGATGGATTCAGGGTCTTGGTAACTTTGGGCTGGGATCTTCATTGTCTCAGCTTTGTTTTTTTGTGATGTGATGTGTTCAAGTTCTCCAGGTTTTTCTTGCATTGTGATGAGTATATGTTCTCAGTGTCTTTGTGTTGTGATGTATTCATGGTCTTAATATCTTTGTGTGCTGTGATGTCTTCTTTGTTGTAATATGTTGGTTTGTTCTGCTGTGTTTATTGTCTCAGTGTCTTTGTGTTCAGAGGTATTTCTATTCTCAGTTTTTGAGTTTTGATAAAAGCAGCTGTGGCTCAGAGGTTGAGCAGGTTGTCTTCTCATTTGAAGATTGTTGGTTTTATACTCGGCTCTCGCAGTCCACCTCTTTTGAGTGTCATTGGGAAAGTCTAAATCCTTTAAAGGACATAGCATAGGAATGTTTGAATGACAAGGTAAGAGCTAGCTCTTAGTGTAAAGTCTTTTGAATGGTGAGACAATAAAAAAATTGAGTGTAACCACAGTGTGTTCAGGGCCCGAGTATAATGTGTTGTGTGTTTAGGTGGGTCTCAGTATCTTTGTATCCTGATGACTTCAGGGTCTCAATTTTTGTGTTGATGAGTTCATGGTCTCAGTATGTTTTTTTATTAGGGCTGTCAGCATTAACTAGTTAATCATGATTGATAAAGCTCTGATATTATTTATTATTTTCTTTCAATTGTGATTAATTGCATGCTCACCGTGCATAAGCCTCCACTTTGTCTCCCTGTAGTCACAGTAAAGCAACAAAATGACACGGCTGCGTCTTTGAATGTCTCATTTCACTAAATTTCAAACTTCTAGACAGCTCAGTTGACAAGTCAAAAGTAATATCCACCTTATGGTATTAAACATTTCACTATTTTACCGTTCCTTTGAGATGTTTTCATTTCGTTTTTGAGCCGAAATTAGTTCCTTTTTCTGTGGTTAAATTAATGTCGTAACCTTTAATCTACCAGAAGGTCCTCCTCAGTGTATTTCAAAATAAAAGCAGGGTTCAAATCAAACAGCAAGTTTAGTGTTCTCAGCTTAAGACAGTAGAAATTCAAAATAAAAGCCTAATTATTTTTTTTTTTTTGAGTTGAGTTTTAAATGCGGATTAATGGAATTGCTAAAATTTCTAAAATAAAAAAAAAAAGAAATGTGATGTGTTCAGATAGGGTGTGTTCCAGGTATTGTTGTTTGCTGTGACGTATTCGTGGTCTCAGATTTTCTTATTTTTTTGATGTGACTTGTTAAAAGTTGCAGTATTTTTGTGTTGAGATGTGTTTAGGGCCTCAGGATCTATTGGTTGTGATGTGTTTAGGGCCTCAGTATCTATTGGTTGTGATGTGTTTAGGGCCTGTGGGTATCTTTTCTGTATGAAGTGTTAACACTTCACAGTCTCAGTATTGATTTATTTTACAGTCTGTGTTATTATAGGTCTTTAAGTTACTTGTTATATGTTAGGATGCTCAGTATCTTTCTGTGTTATAATGTGTTCAGGGTCATACTGATGAGCTTTGGGGCTTGGCATCCCATCCCTCCAGAGAGATGTTTCTCACGTGTGCCCAGGACCGAATGGTGTGTGTCTGGAATTCTGCGAATCACCGTCTTCTATGGAGCCGAACGCTGGAGGTAAGGGGAGGCGGGGTCAGTGCCTGCTAACTGATTGGTGATCTGAAAAAATACGGATGATTGACAGCTCTCTCTCTCCCTCAGGAACATGGACATTGTGCAGACTTTCATCCCAGTGGAGCTGTGGTTGCCATAGGAACACACTCGGGAAAGTCAGTACAGATCATAGATTAGACACACATACACACACACACACACATGCCAGCTACTCTGTGTATCTGCATGGATTCAACACTCCCAATCAGTCACTGATTTGAGCAATAAAAAATGCTAATACATCAGTGAAACAGATCCCTGGTCAAAATGTAACACAAACGTGTAATTGGCTTGATTGTTAATGAGGTTTTACTGTTTTGTTCTGCATACTGTTCTTTGTGTCTTCAATCTTGGGAGACTCGCAGGTTGACCTATTACCTTATAAGACATTAGCATACATGGAGAAAAACAACAACATATCCAATGTGACAATAACAGCATTGCGCTTCTGTCTAACCAGACACAGTGAAACTCTAACATGCAGGCTTAATTCCCTCCATAGTAAAATTTGCTTTCATTTCGTGTCTCTTTTGAGAAATAAAACAAATTGGTTTGAAGTTTTTCCTGGGCTTCACAAAGCCCATGAAGTGAGATTTAAAGAAGAGCCAGGGTTTTTGTACATTTTGATATATTTTTAAAGTGAGACATCTGGGCGTTTGTTTGTACAGAAGGCCTTGTCATTTATCTCTAAGTATTTAACACTAGGTCTGTTTTCTTCATCATTCAAAATGTCTTGTTATGGAGACATTCACACCCCTAACATATCTGTTAACAGCTAGATGCATGCTATGTCTTAATGGTCTATCTGTTTGACCTGTCCCATGTTGGTCCTACTGTGTCTGTCTAATGGTGGTGTAACTGGTCTACCCGTCTTGTTGATGGTCTATCTGGTCTATCTGTCTCAGGTGGTACGTTCTGGATGCTGAGACCACTGATCTGGTCGCGATCCACACGGATGGGAACGAGCAGCTGTCAGTGATGCGCTTCTCTGTTGGTGGGTTGAGCAGAATGAGAGTGGGGGGTGACATGCACCAATTAGAGACAGGGCCCGGAGTCAAACCTGTGACCTGTGCATTAAAGACACAACACATTTATAAAGCATACGCTGTAGATTATTTCTCATCACTGGTCAACCCCCAGTAAGAAGATTGATATCATATTAAGCTTTGCCGTACATCGCACTACAATGAGTGCTGTTCGCTTCAGCGAGGTTCCCAGCATGCTTTTCTTGACACAACACCTGTACCCAAATAGGACAAATTTAATATTAAAATCAAGTTTTGATTTGAACTTAAGCCCATTTTTCCATTTCCTAAATGTGATCCAATCATGAAGTGTTTTTTTTGTATCAGATTAATAAACAAATCATGAAATAACAAATTGTTTCAGAATTGTTCAATTTTAAATTCTCAATTTGCATCCAAAATAGAATTCAATCGAATTTAATAAGGATTGGCCTGTTCATCTCCAGATTTAATTTGACAGTAAACTGAAGATCTTCTTCTTTTTTTACACTAAAAATTAAATATTAATTGATAACTTGATGACATTAACTCTTTTACTCATAACTGGATCACAACCAGTCATTTAAGCTCCGACTGACCACATTAACTCAATCAAAGAATCAGATCATCTTAATGAATGGATGAAAGCTGCCGTGCTCATTGTGTGTCAAGGTGCTCTTTGCTGGGTGTCAAGCCAGTAACATACCAGCTGAGCTCCGTACAGTAGTGGGGTGGTGTTTGAGGTGGTTCACAGTGTGGGCTCTGTTCACTACTGTGGACAGGTAGACTGGTCCGATGAATGCAAGTAATCTTGTTGTGTAAAAAGCTGATCACTCTAGCTCTATAGCACCCTTTTAGCCTGAATATGAATTAAACCATAAATAACGACTCTGGCCCAGCAAGGATATGAATCTGTTCTAGTAGAAGTAAATGTTGATGAATGCTCCTCTATGTGTATCTACAGATGGCTCTCTGTTGGCAGTGGGATCTCATGATAACTTTATTTACCTGTACACCGTCTCAGACAGAGGACGGAAGTACAGTCGATACGGGAAGTGCACAGTGAGTCTATTTGTTGTTCCTTTTTAAAATATTCTCCTTTGATATCATGTTATGTTGTTTAAGTCTTTCCACTTGACAGATTCCACATGAAAGGTCAAACATGTGGTTAACTCTGAACTTAATGATGAAACCTTGTAATTCCTCTCCATCCACATCCCACTTTACTACAGTTGTGTCTCAAATGAGTCACTCATTTCCTACTCTGAAATATATTGGGAAATGAATGTTGACAATTATAGTAAGCTCATCTGAAAAGTGAAAAACACTACAAACTGGTCAATTCACGAGATAGTTAATCCAGATTTTGGTATGAAAAGTGTTCTGGTGTTTGTTGTAACACAAGTAGAATAGGCCACTAGAGTTTCAGCCAGCTTTGTTTACGTTTCAGAGCCTTAATGGGTTTTTACCTGTGTTGAATATTTGTTACATTGTTGTACTTATAATTGTGAGAGCTCTTCCTCTTCCTGTAATTTGCACCTGGGTATGTTTTCATTTTTCAGTTGTGTGGCAAGAGGCAGACAAAGATGATAAGTGGGTTAAAATATTTTCTGTGGACCATCAGAGCCATAGTCCTTTGTTTTTGTTTATATATATATATATATATATATATATATATATTTTCAGTATGCTGGCGCCTCCTCACCAGCGTTCCTCAGTGTGCGTTCAGCATTGAGGTGATTTCATGACTTTCTCTTTACATCTCCACAGGGACATTCCAGCTACATCACACACCTGGACTGGTCACCTGACAACAACTTCATCATGTCCAACTCAGGGGACTATGAGATCCTCTACTGTGAGTACTCAGATGTTGCACTTCATACTCGTGTCACTGTGTAGTCGTAGTGCTGAACTGTTGTATAGTAACAATGATGTGTTTTCAGGGGACGTTTCAAACGGTTGTAAACTGATCAGAAATCGTTCAGAGTGTAAAGACATCGACTGGGCAACTTATACCTGCGTACTGGGATACCATGTGTTTGGTTAGTACACCTGTTAACTTTTTTCTAAACCTGCACACCTGGACAGATGTACATTTGTGAATCTGCACAGCTGTACACATACACACACTCACACACCTTTACACCTCTACAAAAAGCGTTACACCTTTAAAGAAAACAACTACCATCATAACTTCTGCTAAAATTAATTTAAAAACCAATACTCCTACAACTTGAACTACTCCATCTTATTCACACTGTAACTGTACAGGTAGTGATACATCTGCCATACTATAATGTTTGCACAATTACTGCATCTATTGCTAATACATCCACTAACTATTGTTACCATCTGATGGCTTTTGAGACTAAATGTTTCTCCACAAGTTTGTTTCTTTGTTCAAATTAAAGGGATAGCTTGGTTTTTAAAAGAACATAAACGTATAAAGGTGGCTTGCTGACATTAAAGTAAATATTATTATAATGTAAACTTATATCACCGTTCATTTTTTTTTGTTGTTCTTAGAATTAGCTCATTTACTTGATTCAGATTACCCCCTCTGCATAGCCTGGAATCCGTGTCAGTACTCCGAACGTGTTTTTTTTTTTCCTAATAAAGGAACCAAACATAAATCCCCATTTTAAAAAGTACCGAAGTATTCCTTTAAGTTAAAGTAAAGTTTGTTTTGCCTGCTTTATGTTTCTGTGTGTATATCTGAATGTTAACTTGAAGCTACAATTTGTAACTTTTCAAAGGTTGATTTAATGGTACAATCACTTTCAAAAGGGAGAATGACATGTCAACAGCACAGCCTGACCACCTGTTTATTGCGCTATATAACTTTGGCTGTGGGTCAAAGTTATCTCTGGAGAAGCTTTAAGGCACTAGTTTACACACAAGCCTTCAGTTATAAACCAGTTAGCCTGTTTCTGTTCGTCGGCAGAGAGAGAACAGTGACGATAAAACTAAGAGAAGAAGAGAACGTGAGCGAGCGAGAAGCAGAGTTTACATCAAGAGATGTTTACTGTTGTCATTAGCAGATATACCCGGTGCGGAAAGTCATCTAACCCAATTATGTCACAGGTTTGCATAGAAATAAATAAATCAAATTCTCTCTTTCCTTGTCCACATTAAAGTTGACTTTATATATTTGGAACCTTACAAACCAAGCAAAATACATTTCTCCTCCAATGTAGCCATTTAGCCCCAGCCCATCTCTGCATGTCTTCCTGTGCATTTCTGTATATGTGTTTGTCTTTGTATTTCTGTCTCTGTTTGTGAATGTATCTGTGTGTATAACTCTGTGTGTGTGTGTGTGTGTGTGTGTGTGTGTGTGTGTGTGTGTGTGTGTGTGTGTGTGTGTGTGTGTGTGTGTGTGTGTGTGTGTGTGTGTGTGTGTGTGTGTGTGTGTGTGTGTGTGTGTGTGTGTGTGTGTGTGTGTGTGTGTGTGTGTGTGTGTGTGTGTGTGTGTGTGTGGTGTGTGTGTGGGTGGGTGTGTGGGTGGGTGGGTGTGGGTGTGTCAGGTGTGTGGCCGGAGGGATCAGATGGCACCGACATCAACGCTCTGATCAGATCTCACAACAGGAAGGTGATTGCTCTGGCTGATGACTTCTGTAAAGTTCACCTGTTCGCCTACCCATGCTCAAGATTCAAGGTAAAGAACACACACACACACACACACACATCTCTGATTAATGTATAGTTATTAGGGCCCAAGCACGAACCGTGCAAAATGATTCAGTGGTGCCCCCTTGAAATTTTCAAAATGGCCTCCCCATAAAGGTTTTTTTCACGTACACTCATGAAAATTGGTACGCATATTAAGCTTGTTGGGACGGACTAAAAATCCTCTTGCAGCGTTTCAAAAAACCTGACAGGAAGTCCACAAATTAAAGTTGAATTTCACGATAATGGCCAGAAATTTGCTCAAAATCGCCGATTTCAGCCTTCCTATTTGAACGAACTTGCCCGAGGGCGCTCATCCGATCGACGCAATCTCAGTGTCCGTGCGTTCTAGACAGGCTATCATACAGTAACAGCATATCTCGTTGTGCTCTGCACGTTATTTTGTCAAAGGGCAAAACTTGCCAAAAAAGTAAATGCTTATATCTCTGTCTAGTGTTCAATCATATTATGATTTCTTATGCATGATACGGGACCCGCCCTGAACACATCCGTGATGGACATTTTTTGGTTAGTCACAGCGCCACCTGTTGACAACAGGAAGTCACTGCTTCTCAATTAGCATTAGCCATTGCTAATGTCCTTGTAGCTCATTTTCCCCTCAAAATTTGTGTGGACCATGCTAACACCTTGGCCGTACAACACTTTCAAGGTCAAACGGCTACGTCCAACGCTGTCGCCATACGGGCGCGTCGCTCGCCATCAAACAGGAAGTAGTTTTTCCACGGGCTTAACATAGTCGTACTGTCCCGAAACTTCATTCATATGATCCTGGTAGTAAAGTCAAACATCTATTTCAAACATTCAGCCCCCGCAGCACGTTGAACCTACAATTCTGAATTTTACTATGCATTTCCAAAATGACAAAACCTTGCACCCACGCCCAAAACTCAACAGGAAGTCCACAAATCACATCGCCATCAAACAGGAAGTGGCTGTAACTTTATCTGATCTTCTTGAAATTACATAGGTATGATCAGGGTTGGCCTCTGAACCCTAGTGCAAAGAATAAATATTACCTCCCATATACAATGTCAGATTTGCTCAAAATTTCACATGAACAATGTCAGTACTGGCCTGATCACATCTAACCTAATACAATTATTCTATTAACATAGCGCCCCCTACTGGAAAGAGGCGGTACTGCATCTCAGATACTTTGTTTGATCTGCTTAAAATTTCACATGTATGATCAGGGTTCGCCTCTGAACACTTTAACCTAACAATAGTCAACTTCAACCATAGCGCCCCCTACTGCAAATAATAAGCACTACATTCTATATACAATGCTCAATTTCCTCCAAATTTCATAGCTATCATGACAGTGCCATCCTGAACTGCTCTACGTCAAAACTTTTACACAAATCGAACTGCTGCTTAGCCACGTTCTGCTGCTGCTGCACTCCTGCGGTCGGGACACACCCCCAACATTCACAGGGGTGCGAGGGCCCTTCATCACCGCTTGCGGTTTTAATTCTGACTTGAATCTACAGTACACTGTAGCAATAAACCTACAAACGCTAGTTGGCAGTGCACATAACTATGCTAGTTATATCCCCAGTTTGTGGTTTTGCCACATTCTCTGCTTGTTTGTGTACAGGAAACCTTACCAGCTAAGACCAAGCATATTGTGTTTATGATGATAAATATTGAGCAGCGGTTGATTATTATGCAATTATTGCAAAGAGAAAAAAAGAGTCATTGGAGGAGATAGAATGCACAACTCCATAGCCTTATTAGCTTGTGCTAATAGTTAGCCTACGTAATGAAGAACACACACAGATTCATGATACAATGAACATATTTATCTTCCCATCAGAATCAAACTCAGTACCCCCCATGTATTACATGTTGCAAGCCAGGAGAGGAATTTAGACCAATCACAGGGCTTGCTGTCTGTGTCGATTCGGCGTGCAGGTACTTTTTTGAACAGTTGCACGTCAGGCTACGTTTGTAGGCTTCTGGTGGGTTCAGCTTATGGGAACCTACAGTGTGTGCTTATGAATCAAGCGTATGTCAGGAAAGTCTGTTTCTTTAAAACTGTTCTTAGTCTTTTAAAATAAACAAATGGAAGAACATTGTTGCACTGGTTTTAAATAGCTTCCAGCTAACAGATAGATAATCAAGAATAAATCCTCTCTGTGTGCCTGCAGGCTCCGAGTCATAAATACAGCGCCCACAGCAGTCATGTGACAAATGTCAGCTTCCTGTTTAACGACAGTCACCTGATCTCCACGGGTGGGAAGGACACGAGCATCATGCAGTGGCGTTTGGTGGAGAAAACTTCGCTCTCTCTCCCTGACGGTCATCTCTCTAACTCTGCTGCCCACCGGGCAGATCCTGTCTTCACTCCACCCCCGCCTGCCCCAGCTACACTCACCCAGGAACCTGTCATTCCCCCAACAGCCAATGGCACCCAAGAACCCTCTTGTGGCACCACGCCCACCACAGAGCTACCCCCACCCATATCAGAGCTAACCCCTCCCCGCTCTGAGTCAACACCTCCCCCCTCAGACAGCACAGTTAGTCTGAAGGACAGCCTCGAGCCGAGCGATGACACAGCCACGCCCAGTGATGAGGGGCTGCCCCCCCTCACTCCCCCCTCTTAGAAAGAGGGAAAATGTGTGTTGTGTGTTGGTACAGCTATCTTTGTGAGGACCAGGTCTTTTATACCTTTTGAAGACAATTTGTATTGTCCTTTCAGTTTTAGATAAGGGCACGTAGCTGAATGTTTAAGTATAATGCAACACAATGAAAAGTTAAAATGTGAACACAGACATAAAACAAATATTGATTTTATTCAGTGTAAGAAGGATATCGTCATCTCTGATGTCCATACAAAAAATCTTCCATAAATCCACTTAAAGAATCATCTTTTTACATTCTCTTCAAAGTAATCCAGTGATAGTTGTCTGTTTCCATGATAACAGTGCAAACAGGAGTTGCTTACAGCTCATTTAGCACAGTTTTAATGGAGATAATTGGTGACTAAATGTGAACAAATGAAATCAAGAATTCTCTGTGATTGTAGTTTAATGTTAATCAGTGAGGGTCCTCACAAGTATAGAAGTACAGTCATATGTATGTCTGTATGTGTGTGTCAGAACCTGAGCATGTGGCTACAGAGTTGCATGTTTCCTCATCACTCACATGTTGGAATAACAAATATGATGTCATAGTTTGAAACAACTGGAGAGTATGATGGAGTCTAGAGGAGAGCAGTTACCTGGCCCACACATACAAACACCAACACGTTCTAATCAATCTTGCCAATGTCCAGGTTTGCTTTTTGCCTGTGTGTCACTGGGGGGCAGCAGAGAGCAGAGGATAGGTGAGAGTACCTGTTGTGACCCTTACAGTATGTAAGCTAACAGCTGTGTCTCAGGTAACTTTTTCTCCTCCAATGAGAATAGAGCAGGTGAAGTGGGTTAAGAACAAGTCTTAAGTGTTTTAGAAACTTGTATTTTAAATCTGGTAACTTTTTTGGGGATAAAACTTCCTCTTTGCATGTTTTATTAGAGTTGTAAAATAAATAATATCAATAAGATTATTGATTCAAAATGGTTATTAATCAGAGGACTCCTGTGAAGTCAGGTGCAGAATTTAAGGTGTCAAATTTCTCAGCAGATACTTTAAGATAAATTCATTCAAGCCACTTAATTTTGTTGCGCTTTTTTTTTGTAGATCTGAAAAAGACAAATATGACATTTCATGTTAAGAATGCTTCAAATACGAAGTATATTGTAAAAGGAAAAGGCTCAAACTGAAATGAATGAACTAAAGCTACAAGAAGTCTCTGATAGCCAATCACAGAGCTTCTTCTTTTATCTCAGGTGAGGTTCAGTCTTGTGCGGTCTTTAAGGACATGGATCTTGGGCCTGTCACAAGACCCCCTCCTGAGATAGGTAGATTTATGACCAAGGTGTCAAGACATTGACACTGAAATCAACCTCACTGACGTAAATTGGAAGTTAAACAGGATGTGAATGGGAAGTTAACAGGAAGTAAGGGACGCATAAAGTTGACCTCCAGAATAGAAACTGTGACTCAATTATTTTTTTTAAATCTGAATCCGTAGTTGACAGAGTTGGATCTAAGTGAGACCTTTGACCTGTCAGAGGAGAGTGTGTGTTGCAGCTCTGTTTGTATATACTGCAGATGTCTGTGTGTATATTTCTGTTCACAACCAGGGGGCAGCAGTTCCTCAGCAACACTGTAAAAAATACTCAGCCACCCTTCATATTCAACACTTGCATCTCTCAGCCAATAAGGTTGGAGGATATACATGATATCCTCTCCTCTGATTGGCTGGTTTTCAGTGACTCACTGGATGACTGCTGATCATGTTTTTTGTTTTTTTGTTTTTTTTTGTCTCTTCTGGACCATTTCTGTTCAAAATGTTTTCTGAATGTCATGATGATGTCACTCTGGGGGCAGGGCCTATCAGGGGTAAGGGGGAGGGGGGCATTTATGTTTTTTGCCTTTTTAATACTGTTAATCTTTAACATTAGTCTTTTCTATGCTCGTCTCTCTGAAGGGCTTGTACAGAGATCAGAGACACTCCTGGATGTTCAGGGAGGGGGAGGGGGAGGGAGCTAACAGTTTGTAGGAGTTTCTGGATTAAAATGTTTCAATATTCAGATAAGACAATTATACTGATAAATGATAATGACAATGTTCATGTGACTGTTTTGAGCCAATCATGTCTTTTTTCATGCATTCCTGTCTGATGACAGACTGTACTGAAGATTTCAACAAAAAAATGCAAAAATAAAAGTTTTCAAAACTGATGGCTTTTTAATTCGGTTTCTTCCTGCTGCTGTTGCCTTGGCAACTATAAACAGTCCAGAAACCTGTACTTTCATGCAATTTTAAGATCTCCAAGATATCGTTTTGTTACATGGTTTCATTAAGCCTAACAAAAGCTGTCACACTCATCATCCTCAACATGGTCATTGCTAGAATTAACTTGTGGAGTCTATGAAATAAATGTTTCACTCAGATGTTTTCTCAAAGCATGTGTGATAGTTGAAGCAAAATTCATTCAGTTGCGGACCACGCGGTGTAAAAAAAAACGTGATTAAAAACAAAGCATTTTTTCTTGTCAAAAGTAAAACAAGTAGGCTACAATGCTTATGTACTCTGACAATATGCTCAACCTGCTTGTGTGTGAACTTTAAGTTGCTATGGCGATTAACCCAAGTAAAAGATGAAATCCAGAGATAACCCGGAAGTAACCTCACTAACTGCAAATCCTGCTTTAGGGTGCAGAAAAAAAAGTTATCATTGTAAAGATGGTGGTTCATCCTGCAGTGTTAGATCTCTCCTTTAGGTGGCACTGTACGTTCCAGCTACATTACACAGAGGCAGGTCTGGTTTTGCTGAATGTGTCTGCCTCTTGAAGGATGTTCTTCCTTGCCACAGTAACTCTGTTAAATATTATGTAAAAGATTAATGTTGGGTCTTTGTGGACAATTTAACAGAGTTCATTATTTGACCTGCTCTTTTGTAATATAATATACATAACCATCAGTTAGGTCTTTGACCTGCTCTTTGTAAAGTGTCTTGAAATAAAACAAATTGTGAATTGATGCTATACAAATAAAGATTGATTGATTGATTGACAATCAAAGTTGCCTTTTTTAGCTTTCTGTGCAGCAGAGGACTTGGCAATGAAGATAGAAAGAAAACAATCTGCCTGCAGCTATAATAAATCAATGGCATATAAACTCAAATGTATATAAATCATTATTTTCAAAAGGACATTCATCACTAAGTAGCAGTTTAAAGAATAGTAAAAATGTTAATACTATGTTTAATTTTAGATAATACCTTAAGAAATCTGCTTCTTGCTTTGACACCATCTGTATCCAATCTTAAAAGTCAAAGACTAAGATCTTTACAAGATGATCAATACTTATAATGTGATACTTTGACTACATTGAGCTGAGAATGTTTGTGTTCCTTTCCTCTTGTCAGACTGCAGTTTATCCATGAGCAGTATTTGTGTTACCCGGGATGATACCAACTTCATAAAGTTCATACAAACATTACTGAGACGTGTTTCAAAGTTCAAAAGACCCATTGTAAATACACAAAGTCAATTTTTAACTCAGATTCACACAAAAACTGAATTCTGGGAATTCTCTGTCACAACTTTATTTCACGTTATTTGTTTTGTCAACGTCAATGATTCCTGGGCTGTGATTGGCTCATGCATTGCAGCCGTTGGTGTGGCAGCAGTCCCAGCCAGGTTTGGAGCAGTATTCAAGCTGAATGCAGCCCTTTTCTCCGTTACCTGCGTAACAAACAAGAAACATATCATCAGAGCCTCCAATCACACACCACAGACACAGGCTTCTTTTCTAAGTGTGATCTCACAGGGATATACAAATCCAATATGTACCAACATTCATTTTACAAAAACTACTAAATAAGACATGACATGCTATAACTTGAGGTAAATGTTTAAGATCTTAATTGAAGTTTCACATGTGATTATTTCATCTTGCGGTTGAAAAATGAAACTATCACATAAATGCCAAAAACTAAAATTCCTGAAGTGGCTCCCTCGATATACGAGTCAGCCCCCGTTGAGATCCATGTTCAAATTATATAAAGAGGCATGGCGGCTGGGCAAGTGGGAGCTTCTTGCTGTCTGCCAGGTGTCAATAAATTCAGTCACTGAACTCAACCTCTTGATCCTTTTTGTACTTTTGCTGCTTTTGAGGAATTTTGATGTTAATATCTGACAAATAGTTCTTTCCAAGAAGTCTGTGCTCCTTTTTCTTCAGTGACATTTTCCACATTTTTCAGTGACAAAATCTAACTTTTTTGTTAGCACTTATAAGCAGGTATCGATTAGGTATCTTAGTTAATTGACAAACAAATTAGCAGGCTTAAGATTTAGCCTTGAGCATAGACTCTACTCTATTATCACTACACTTCTTTCCTGCTTCTCCCTTCTGTCCAAATATGGTCGTTTCTGGTTCCAAAAGAGTTTCTCAACATAATGTCAAACTTGGGGTTTAAAAAACTGTACCTGAAGAATACCTGGATTTTTCCATCTGGCAGAATCACCTGAAGATACATTCTAAGGAAACACCTTAAGGAAACACCTGCCACACACCTGAAGGACACATCTTAAGGATACATCTTAAGAAAAAGCAAACCATCCAGAGGTGGTGGACGGCTTTATACCATGAATAATAATTTGTTCAATGTTTCTACCAGGATGGGATGTTTTTCCTTGCAACTCTTGACAAATGTTGCAAAGTGCTTCTCATGGTGGATTAATCTTTGGCCTCTGTAAATAATTAAATACATAGTACGGGTCAGACCTATTTATTTTCCTTTAGTTAAGTAGCCTGAGATAACATTTAGTATGATTTAGAGCTGTGCAATAATAAATGATTGATTGATTAAAGAACAAAAAGTGCAAATCTGAACACACAATTTTGATCAACCTGAATGACACAACAGACAAATCTAAGAGATGCACATAGAAGGAGCACTTTACAAACACACCTAAAGGACACACTGCAGGGACATTTCCTTTGTACAGGGCTTAGTTCGTGTGAACAGGTAGAAGACTCACCTTTGGTGTAGCAGGCCTGTTTGATGTCACTGCTGCAGTCCAACAGTATGTTGTCGACCATATGGTAGTCCTGACCATAACACTGGATGGAAAACTGTTTAGCTGTAACACAAACACACCTAGTGAGATCACACCTGAGTGGGAATGATCATATATGGTAATTATACTATTATTAGTTAACTATTGATGATTTGATTAATGTGTCATGGTGGGTCAGGCTGAACTAGTATAAGTTGTTTATATTATAGCCTCCAACACGTCAGTCAAGAATTTTGAGCTGCAATCGAGTAAAACTCACTCAGAGGTTTCTGTTCTCTTATTTATTGTGGGCCAACAAACAATAAACAACAAACATGTTGCAGCCACGAGCCATAACACGCTGAATCAAAACAGCTGCAATCACTTCATATTACCTGGAGAGATTTAAACAATTGACTAACTAACTATTAAGATCTGTCAAATCAGAAAGGTGCAATACTTACGGAGTGAAAGTGATTGGCTGTTTGAACAAAATAATTGCTCAATTAATTAAAAAAAAGGCATACTAATGCTCTTACTGCCCTTATAAATGTCTGTTTTCATGAATGGCAAAATGGTGTTTGACTTTTTATTTCCTATTGTAAAGGATAGTTCCGTGTTAAGAGGACATTAAAGGAAGCAATAAAGCTCCCTTCCTCAGTACTTCCACATTGTTTATGTTAGGAACCTTCCTCAGCAAAAATACATTTTCAATCATAACATTGAAGGAAAAAGTACAAATCTCTAGTAAGGATAATGCCCATTTGAAACTGCTTTAATTCACATGTGATTACTGCAGACCTAATGTTATAAGCCACTAAGTAAGGTCAGTGACACGACAGATTCAAGTCATGACAAGTCAAATCAGCATCCCACATCAACACAGAGCCTGGATTCAGAACTGATACAGCCCCTTTCAGCCCTTAGACAATACTCACACTTTGATAATCTCACATAGTGTTTTGATTCTCAAACAGGATAACAAAGAGAAAATGAGACATGTCAAATCTTGCATCAATGTGTAAAATTAATAACACTGTAAAATAAGGGTTTACTGTGTAAGAGTAGAAGGATAAACTTTTCTTCTGCTCTCCGTGCAGGCTTTAAATACTTATTGAATATCTTGAAGAATTGGAAAGAATGATTTCCAGGCTTTCTCCAAAACATTGACAACATGAGGTGGTAGACTGCCTTATTAAAAACATAAACATACATACTTTATGTATTCTGCACTGGAATTAAAGATTATCAGACGAGGGTCGGTACATGCTGCCATGTACACTTACTTAAAGAATTAGTTAAAAAGATGGTGATCTCAAGATGAGCATAGCTTCTGCTTCAAAATGTGTCTGTTGTCGAACGCACCCACTGTTTATGAGAAATGCATTAGTTTTTGTTTTGTAATGTTTTCATTGACAGTATTAAATACAACCTCAAGGTCTCTCTTAGTATGTTAAACCAAAAACATGTCTCTGGTATTCTGCCACAGATAAGGTATGTCAATTTACTATTCATACAATTCTACTACAGGAGTGTTATGCTGCAGTACATCGGATGCTTGTTGGCTAGAGTAAAATAAAACCTTTATTTACAAAAAGACAGACTAAGTCTTAACTTTTCCTGACCCCATGACAAACCTCTGGCTAAATCCATTCTAACCCTCCACACACAATGCTGGGTGTTTTCTGAGAAGAACGTTTTATATTATTTTTTAAACACTTGTATGTTAACTTAAATCCTCCTTTACTTGGTCTATCCATGGTTTCATGTGTGAGTATGTGATTGTACCTGAGCAGAGAGGCAGCAGCAGCAGCAACAGCAGGTAAGCCTTCATGGTTCTGGTTTTCTGTCTTGAAGTCTCAACTAGCAACGAAATGGACAGGAAGAACTTATCTTACTTTATATACACACACACACACACACACACACACACACACACACACACACACACACACACACAGATACCTTATCTAAAAACAAACTGAACTGAACTGAAGTCACATGATGTCTGTGTTTGTCTGATGTTCCTGCTCAGACTATTTTTCACATCCTGTCTTTGGCTGTCCTGTGTTTCTGCTGAGTCATGACTCCACATCATGCCTGGATACCAGTTGGCATTTCTGCTGAGTCATGAATATTTCGTCAGAGTCCAAATCATGTCATAGGAGGGCCTCATGTTTCTGTTGAAGAATGATTGGCACCATACAGGCATTGTGGACCCCTGTCTGTTTTGACGGCCTGTTTGATCTGTAATGGTCCTCTCATATGAGGGTCCTATACACACAGTAACCTTTCTCTCCATAGTCCAATGCCCCGTGCTGAATCAATACAGGCTGGTAAATGATCGGTGATTATTGAGGACATATCATTTATCTGTGCATTTCAAATGAAGTTGAACTTTACCAGACATCTATTTGTCCCACACAGAAGGCTGAAAAGGAGAGAGGTAAATACATCACTAACTCAGAGAGGTTTTCCTATTTTTTAAAGCCATGAGAAACCCAGATCTCAGATAGCAAGAACATTTTGATATATGGGGTCTTGTGAAAATAGAACTGAGCATTGAGTATGTATATTATATATTGCAAATTCATTAATTACTGTATTCCCTGTAGTCCTTCTTGTGTTTTTATACCATAGTGCTGGAGGCCTGGCCCTCAGAACACTGACATGGTTGTGACAGCACATTCGCCCTCAAACTCTCTAAAAGGAAGCCGCTTCACTCAGCGCCCTCTACAGGCCTAGAATACATCATGCCGTTATGTCTGGAATATGGAACATTTCTCTGATGCATTGTTTTCTGAAGATGTGTGTTTTTGACTTTGCATTGGTTAAGGGTTTGAAGGGTTTGCTTTTTAATACACTTGTTAAGACTACATGCAGCAGGTTTTATAATCATGAAGAAGAGGCACTGACACACCTGTGTGAGTGTGTGTGTGTGTGTGTGTGTGTGTTTTAGTATTTGTTGAATGATATATTTTCTGTCTTCTTTCTGTTAAATCTGGTCATGATATCATATTATGATAATATTGATGTTTGCATACTAACTGAAAAAAGGTGTTAACATAGGAGGAATTACATTGAGTGGATGAAGTTAGACATCAATATAGACATAACAGAACCGTGTTGATAGTACGATTTTTTATTCTAGTTTCTGATAACGACAAATATTCATGCAAGACTGAAAAAAGAAAACACATCAGCTACAGAAACACAGCACAGCCTTCTCTCTGAATGTTTGACATAAGATAATACAGCATGAATTTGGTCTTTGGTAAATATAAGGAAACACTGACAAAATGTTAAACCAAACCTGGTGTGCAAAGAACTCTGAATGACAGAAAATGACATCATTAAATCCAAAAAAAGGTCAACAAGGAATGAGGCAAATTCACTATAGTCTATACAGATAAAGGTGCATTTAAATGTTGGAGGTTCATTGCTTTCTGTTTTCAATATGCAATTCCCTCTAAGGCACCTTTCCCTTTGATAGAAAGACGTTTCCCCTCACAATTAAGTCAAACTAATACTGACAGTCTCTTTTTATATTTCAACAAATCAACAAACACGTGTAACCCCTTTGTCTTCACAATCACAACATTGTAACACTTTTTTTTAAACATGAATATCCTTCTTAACTTTCAAACTTCATTTCAGCTACAGCAGGGCTCTGGAATCTTTATGATGAATAATAACAGGGATGAGTCTACATGAATCTGAAGTAAAAGGTTTGTTTGTTTTAACAGTGTCACCTGCTCTGTAACTTCTTCATCTGCCTCACCTTCAGTCACTTGCATATCCTTCATTTCACAGAGTTAAATATACAGTTATTCAAATCAGAAATAAGTCCTCAGATAGGTTTTCCTAATGCTAGTCACCACATGGGAAAGCAAAGCCTCACACATTGTTATTCTTCTTAGAACAGAGGGACAGCAGGGACTCAAACAGTTTAGCCCAAAAGCATCTAAAACTCCTAAAGACATATTGTTTGTGTCAAGGAGCCCCTGGACACAGCAGTTTAAAAAACACTTCCAAACATGCAACCGTCATGTTTTTTTTTTTAACATAACTGAAAGATTAATTTAAACATTAAACTAAATAATTCTATAACAAACAGTCCAAACAGTAACATAAACCAGTCCAGACACAAGTCGTTTTGGACAGTTTCTTTAAAGGTGTTCAACTATTCACAAAGACATCAAAGAAAGCAAAAAGTAAAGAAAATCAATATTTCAAGGAGCCCATGAAACCAAAGATATGGTTTCTGATGAAATAACCAAGAGTTTAAGAAAATGTGTCCGACATGATCACACAAGCAGTAACTGAAGAAGCGGCAGTGATGAAATAAAGACCTGTGTTTGTATTCTGTGACTGTCCTTTCTTTGGTAATCAAATATTTGACACATTTATTATTACAAAGAATACAGTCTAGACCTGCTCTGCATGTTGTGTGGTATATCTGATATGATTCAGCTCAACATGAATAAGAACTGGTTGATCTATTGTTTGACTAAAGACTGGTCTAGTAATGTCTGAGTTAGGTTGAATGTTGTTTGTGTTTTTGGGCTCTTTAATCTCATTTATTCACTCAGTTTCATTTCATGGGGTCTTTATGTCACTAACTGTACAGTCTCATTTCATTTCAATAGTTTAGTAACACTTTAAAATGTCGGCCTGGATCTTCATCCATCTATACAAAACAGACATCAGGGAAGCTCTTTACTAACTAAGGAAAAAGGTGCTGTGGGGGCTTTTATATAAGGATGCAAACTACTCCATGCTTTCAAAAAAACATGCTTCCAAAATAAATGAAAATGTTAAATTGTCCATACGTTTTGGAAAAGCACAATTACAGATAGAGTTAGTAGCTTTTTCCTAAAAGAATAAAACATAGACTTGTAAAAAAAGAAATGTTGCTGAATCATCACTTCTGGGCCTCCAAACATGTGTGATGGTGACTGTGGAGTTTCATAATTTGTTTTGCTTTTGTTTCTTGGCGTGGAGTGGATGTGTTTCCTCCAGTCAATGACAGGACGCAGGTGAGTTTGAGAGTGAATACAATTCAACAATCATACTTCACTCCAAATGGTGAATTTGGCGGTGCGGACGTAGCGGCAAAGAAGAGCAAATATTCTTCATAGTGAAGCGACATGCCAAGCAGTTAAAGCTCGTTCAAAAACAAGATTGACCCTTTAGTTGGCTTTCACCCGTGGATGGGGAGTTGGTCCACTTTCTGTTTGGACAGGTGGTGTGTTAGCCTGCGGTAGCCTGCAGTGTAGGTACAAGCAGTACACACTAGGTCCTGCAGTGAGTATTCGCTTCAGGGGGCCGATGAGCATAGGAGGAGGAGGGGCCCAGTTTGAATGTTGTGTTTACAAGCTGCAATGAAAAATGCTTTTGTCTCTACCTTTAAGAAAGGAATCATGTAAGCCAATGCTTTCTTCTTAATCACTTTGCTAGAGATCTCTTTTCTCTTTCCTTCTTGCGATACAGATGTCAGAAGCCGGAACGATTCAGCAGAATTTGTTGGGACAGACTTAAACCTGAGTTTACCACATGATGGACGGTCTTCTCTTCGTGTATTCTAGCTGCGCTCAATGTTGTTTCCATAAGGTCAAGCTAAGAGCTATGTAGATTTCAAGACCAGACTTGACAGCTTGAATGTTAATCTCATCAGACACATTGAGTTCTTACATTGAAACATTCCCCTCTCTGAAGCTTCCTGATCACTGTTGGAATTCCTCACTGAAATGAATGGGTGCAGATGGCCGGATTAAAAAAAAGATCAAAAAGTTTCTTATGAAAAAAAAAACAACAACATGAATAATTACCCAAACCTACATAGATCTTAAATATCAACAAACTTTTTTATATCCCAATTCTTGTTGACCATTAACAGCATTGGCTTTTTGTTTTAGCAACAGTGCAAAGGCTTTAGGTAAAAGTCACAAAAAAAGAGTTTGCTAATCGGCAGTCTTTTTAAGTGAGCGTGGCTGGAAATGTAAGGCACTACAGTCTCATTTGGAGTGTCTCTGCATCCTTTAGACCTCCACTGAGGTGTGGAGAACCCAGTGGTCAAACTGAGATGGTAGGGCATCTGTCCTCTTGAGAAACTCCCAATAAACTTTCTTGTTGATGCATAACCGTCCTCACAATCATAATATGCATAATGTCTGCAGTTCAGTGAAATAAGAAGAAGACCCCCCCCATGCCTAACAGAGACTGGTAGAAATAAAGGCTTGGCTGGCTGGCATGTGCTACTTCTCAAGAGTTTACAAGTGAGACAGAAAGTGGAAGAAGCTGCTAATACCAAGATGAGGGGGAAATGTGCACGCTTACAGTCGCGTGAAAGGACCTACATGAAGAGGCGCTCTCAGTTTGGGAGAGGAGCAGGAGTTGGTGGTGAACATGGAGGATGGAGAGGAGGAATATGGTGAAGAGGAAGCAGATGAGGTTTCGCAGCCACTGTTCAGAGTGAAGACACTGGAAATAGCCACATCGACGATACCTTGACATAGCTCTGGATATAGTTTCCTGGAGGAGAGAGGGAAAACACAGGAGCCAACCATTAAACCTGACTTACTGACTTAATAAGATGACATAGAAAGAAAGAAACATTTTAAACATGAATAATCTGCTGGATGTTACTAACTGTGCACAAGCTGGAGCCCCATTGATCTCAATGAGCCACACTTTGAAGCTCTGGTCCACCATGAAATCAAATCCAAAGAGCTGGAAACTCTGGTAGGACAGGTGCTTGGTGCTGATTGTCGGCTCAATACACGTCAGGCAGTTCCTGTGAAAACAGACAGCAAAAAAAAAAGCTGTTCATAAAAAAACACAAGAACAACTTTCAGTTCTCGAGTTGTGTGTTTTTGACGTTGCCTTGCTTCTGTATTTGTAGCACGTTTAATCTTATTGCATTCAGTTGGACTTTTGCATGTGAATCTGATTTGTTCTAATGTAAATAGTTTGGGCCATGCAGGTCAATTTCCATTTTTGGCCACCACATGTGGGATCAACAAAGTCATTTGAATTGATCCATTAAGGACAATTAAGATGCGAATTCCATCGCAGAATTCCATCGCAGAATTCCATCGCAGCCCATCAAACAGCTGTTTGGACATTACAATCTGCATCGGAAATGTGAACCGGATGTTGGCAGAGAAGAAATTAACTAATCACCGGTCAGTCAGTATGTTTTGTCTTCTGCTCAACGTAAATGTCAGGACAAATTTGGGGACCAGCCATCATACCAACACTTAAATAAAAAATAAAAAACACTTTCCATTTATCTATAGGAACAGTGATTAAGCTTGAGGTGACATGAACAAGACTGAGTTATTTAATGACACTATCACAGAGAACAGATTTGACCAGACAATTCAGCCATCATTTTTCATTGACCACAAATATATGCTATATTTTATTCCAGTTACAGTCAAAGTAAATATCCTGCCCAGTTCAGGGTGGGATATATATGCCCCCTGGTATACTTTATCTGCAATGTATAGAGCATGGAGGTCAAATGGTTGTGGCAAAGTCATATAGCCCCTGAGCAGTCATCGGATGTAGTAATAGAGGTGTAACAGGAGTGTATAATGGCATAATGCTGCAAAATCAAAAAGGACCTACTTTATGATCTGTTTGATCTGAGGTAATATGGTGGTCTCCAGGACAACATTGTGAGTGTTCAGCAGGTACAGCCTGAATTCATCGAAGAACATCTCATTCCCCTCTTCATATCGTCCGTAGTTCTCCGAGTGCTCCTTCTGGATGCAGTGATTGGTCAAGTGGCTGGTCATGTCCTGTAGGTCAGAGCTGTTGTAGGGATCCGAGGAAGTACGCAGCACACCTTCCCGGTACAAGTAAATGTTGTACTGATGATCCACCAGCACCCAGCTCCTGTCAATAACGTAATATTACCCGTTAGAGTCTGAGAGTGTTCGGACAAATAATCACATTCTCTGTGGGTTTGTGTTAGACTGAAAAGACTTACCTTATGTCAAACTTTCGATGTCCTGGCTCCAGAAGCAGAGGTTTCTCCAGGTACTTCTGAATCACATGAACCTGTCCCTGATTATCTATGTGCTCCAGCAGCTGATTAGCATCATGGGATATCAAGATGCCAGCACCTGATGCAGTGACAAACAAATATTTTAAGCAGCCACCGATGCCATCAACTATGGCTATTAGGTTGTGAACAATATAAGTAGTTGATTATAATAAAAAAAGATAGTTTAACTCTGCTAAATGGCATTGCATTGAATAGAGCTAAAGTAGCTCCATTTAATTTAAAAAGAAAGTTAAAGGAACATTTTCGACTAACATTAACTTCATCATGGATTTCAATGAATGAAAAGATAATACATTTTACCTTTAGCTCCAGCAGAGGACTTGGCTATCCATACTGTGCCTTCCTCACTTTCTTTTTTATTGAGATAAGAGGCCAAAAAAATTTCCCGTTCATCTGTCTTGGGGTTGTTCTTTAAATGGCTAATGCCATTGGTCGCTGGAGCCACAGGAGTTTTGAGGTTAGTGGGATAAATGATGAAGGATTCTGGGAACCAGTTATGAGAGTCAGACAGCTCTGGGCTTGTCTTTATAAGCCTAATGATAAAGAATGGAAATGGTCAGCTGATGTATACCCTTTTTAATAATTCACTTTCAGAAAGGTGCATTAGTAACATGATGATTGACAGCTAAACACAAGATACATATTATTTTAAAGAGTTACACACTTGACCAAGGATGCCTTCCTGCAAAGCTTGTCTGCTCCTCTGTAGTAATTCACCAGCTGCACCAGTCCTGGTTCATGACCTGTTAAGCCCAAGCAGGGAAATTTTGAATTAATTACAATACCAAAATGTGCACACTGAGAGAGAATTGGCTGCGCTTTTCTACGACAGGGAAAAATCATTTGACAGCATGCTGGAACAAACAGCCATGCAGAGTGTGTACATCCGACAGAGCACACACAAACAGACTTCTCTGTCTGCAGTCTGCATCATATGATAAACTAGACAAAGTTATTTACCCAGACGTCCAAAGGGTAGTCTGTTCCGTTCACCAAGCATGAGGTTGAATCTCGGATTGTCTTTTTTAAGCCTCTTCCAGTGTCCAGTTGCGATGAGGATTTTGGAAACTTCTGCATAAACAGAACTGTTGTCGTCACGCGTGACAAAGGTGTACATCGGGGTATTCATACTGCCACAAAGAGTCCAAGGTGAAGTAGAATAAAAACTATTGGCTGTGTAAATAAGTAAGCTTTCCGGCAAGGCTATCTAGTCGACACTGCAGTAGACAGACTATTCAGGGCTATCTCTGTCCCAGCCATGATGATGAGTCAGTCATATACAAACCCACACTCTTCACTTAGCTAAATCAAAGTCTCAATCTGAAGCTCAAAAACACAAATCTTAAACACTAATTTAATTCACATAAAAAAAACATAGCATGCGTTTTCATGTTATTCCGAAGACAGAGGTCCTTCAGAAATCCCAGACAAGGGTGTGACTGACTGCTACCGGCTCCAGGGGCTGATCCCGTCTGGATTCATTTACATCTCCGGTTTAGCGATAGCTAACGGTCTGCGTCGACTGTGAATACTTAGAACCAAAACAACTTTCCCAATGTCCCTCCTCAGACACAAATACTTCTTTCATATAACGCGAAATGAAAATGCTAAATAGTTAGCTCTACACCCAAAGCATAAAAGCACATTGTAAGCCCACCGGCTGGCGTATGCTTTTCTGAAGATTTGCAAGTCGCTGTCATCCACTGTCGACAGCATAAACAATAGCTGGACGATTGTGGTTATTGTAGTACATGCATGCACTAATACAGTGAATTATTTGTTTTTACGATGTTTTTTATTAATGTAAACTTAATAAGCATAACTTCAGTTGAAAGTTAGTGATATTTATCTAATTCTTAAATTACGTTTACGTTGGAATCCAGTGAACGACTGCGTTTCAATATTATCGGTACTCGATTTCCCAGAATGCAACACAATAGAGCGACGTTCTACTTATTATTTGTATCGCCTGTTGAGGCCACAGGGTGGCGCGCAAGTCCTCCGAACAAATTATTAGCCAGGACCTAGCCAGGACCCTGTTGATGAAAAATATCAGGATAAAAAAAGTTTTTCGATCGAGGTGAAGGGCAACATATATTCTTCAGACGAATCTTGTTACGTTGAAATCGCTAGCGCAGCGTAATATGACTTGAATGGTAGTTACCGCTTTCTCTGCAACACTGGGGGATAAATGGAGCACTCACTTGTTTGTGCCAAGCTAAGGGCTGCGTTCCCATTTTTTTAAATTAGTGATTTGCTGTAAGTAGGCGTATTATAGCGGTCGGGTTTTCAACTGAGATTGTGCATTTACCATCAGATAAAAGATTAAGTTGAGACTATTTTAGTTAAGTTTCCTCATCTGGTAAAGAGGATATCACAAGACAAATGTAGGGTCCTGTAAAACGAATTGGAACGTAACAGGAAGTCGTGCTTGTGGAGAAGAAACAAGTGGCGGGAATAACATGACGGCGAGTTAAAGTCAAGCAGCTTTAACTAAGTTTCCGACAACGTTATGAACTTGTGTATTATTTGTCACAATATCGTCAGAAGATAGCACGTATAGTAAGTGAGGACTCTACTGTTGTGCAGGTATTTTAATGTAAAAGTATTAACATACCATACTATAATTAACTTGCATGTCTGTATGAATGTCCAGACTGTTTATCATCTCACTCAGCCTTTGCCATCTTAGACACAACAAGGCTTCTTGGTTGTAGGGCACTTACAGTGCAACTTTGTAGTACAGCAGCTACATATTCATTGAGTTATATTGTTACAGTCATATAACAGAGACACTGGAATAGTTTCTCATAAAGGTATCTTTATGGTTGGTAAACAACCGTGTTTACAGTTATTTAAGCTTTGTCAATGCAACACATTACCATTCATGGTTAGAGTTATCTTAGCTCCGGCACTGAGACAAACAAACCTTTAAAAAAAAAAGCTGTTTTAAAGACAATTGTCTCAACAATGAGTTGCAACTGAGATGCGAAGCCAATCAGTGTGTTCCAGGGTTATTTGAGCTTGACCTATATACTGTTGACTAAATTACAGGAGCCCTCAGCCTCTGGTTACTCCTTAACCAATACTCAGTAGTATCCATGCTACTTTAAGGACTGTTTTTGTGGATCCCTAAACTTTATGAAAGTGTCAAGCTAAAACATTGGCTTTCTAAATGCGTTTAAAAGACTGCAATGTAAGGAAATTGAACTTTTTCTGTGTATGGGTCAGGGACGATGTGTGTCTTTGCCTTTCCTGAGGTCTTGTATTTTTAATGACATTTGCCCCCTCTCCCTCACCAGACTGGAGCAGGCCAGGCATGAGTGGTGCACACCTGGACGAATGGCAGAGGAGGTCCTTTGACATTTCATCTGGCAACTGTACACCTGAACAGACGGCCGATGCCTACCGGGCCCATATCCTCTCCATTCAGTATGCATGGGCAAGCTCCCAGCTCTCTCAGGCCGGCATGGACAGCCTGCTCAGGACCTACTCAGAGCGCTATGCTGCAGTGCTGGACTCGGATGACCCCCGCAAAGGGCTTAACAACTATGCAGAGAGCGCACTGCATCTGGCCCGCAGTCAGAGGAATTACAGTGACAAATGGGAGTCGTCCCTTACTGTGGAGAATGTGATGGAGCTACCAAGTGTGCAGAAGATGATTGAGTCTGTGAAAGGGGGAGGAGGCTCCCTGGTGGCACCAGGAGATGTAAACATATGTGTTGGGCCAGAGAGCAAAGGAAACCTCCTGTCTGCTCCCTTACCTGGAGTCAGGTCAGAGGCTGTGTTATTTAAACCTACAGCACCACCACAGCCTAAAAAGATAGACTTTAATACTGCCAGCAATCCTGCTACTAATTTTATGTCAGATAGACAGAGAGGCTCTGAGGGTATCTCAGGTACTTCAAATTCATTCTCCCGACCTCCAGCTAGACCACAGTCAGTGTTTAGTCATTCATCTTCAGTTTATCCGCAGGGCAACCCAGGCCCTGCAAATGGCACACAAAGTTATCAGGCCTCTTTCTTCTCCAACTCCAACCCTACAAAGCGCAAGAATTTTTACAACCCAGATGGAGGGGATGGTGGCAGGGGGCAACACGGGCAAGCAAGCACTGACCTGCGATGCGGAAGCAATTTCAAAACTGCTCGTGAGCAGTTTGTTGTTGATCAACATAAAAAACATTCACACCAGTCCCAGAGAGGGCAGGCCACTGGCATGTCGGCAACTGTTAAGAAATCTCTGGGAGCTAATAGACCTCGAGGTGCATTTTCCAAATTTGTATCACCTATGCCACGACAAGAGGAGGAGGAAGGTGGGCTGAGCCGTGATTCCAATGGGGAACCTCAGATCCTGGATGAGCGACTGAAAAACTTTGAGCCAAAGATAGTTGAGCTGATCATGAGTGAGATCATGGACCACGGGCCTCCTATATCTTGGGATGACATAGCAGGCCTAGAGTTCGCCAAGACCACCATAAAGGAGATCGTGGTTTGGCCCATGCTGCGACCTGACATTTTTACTGGCCTCCGTGGTCCTCCAAAAGGCATTCTGCTGTTTGGACCCCCGGGAACTGGAAAAACCCTGATTGGAAAATGCATAGCTTGCCAGTCAGGTGCTACCTTTTTTAGCATCAGTGCTTCATCGCTCACGTCCAAGTGGGTTGGGGAAGGAGAAAAAATGGTGAGAGCCCTGTTCGCCATTGCCCGATGCCACCAGCCTGCTGTGATTTTCATTGATGAAATTGACTCACTGTTGTCCCAGCGGACAGACGGGGAGCACGACTCATCTCGAAGAATAAAAACAGAGTTCCTGGTACAACTGGATGGGGCAGCAACAGCCGCTGAGGACCGCATACTTGTGGTTGGCGCCACCAACCGGCCTCAAGAGATAGATGAGGCTGCGCGGCGACGCCTGGCAAAAAGGTTATACATCCCACTGCCTGAAGCCACCGCCCGATGGCAGATAGTAACAAACCTCATGGCTCGAGAGAAGAACCAGCTCGTAGATTCAGAGCTGGAGAGTGTGGTTACAGCTACAGAAGGCTTCTCTGGAGCTGATATGACCCAGCTGTGTAAAGAAGCAGCACTGGGGCCAATCCGCAGCATCCAGCTGAGTGACATCGCCACTATAACTGCAGATGAGGTGCGACCAATTATCTACAGTGACTTCCAGGAGGCCCTGAAGACAGTACGACCCAGTGTCTCATCAAAGGACTTAGAGCTGTACGAAGAGTGGAATAAGACTTTTGGATGTGGACGTTAGATTTGCCTCTCATCCTTAATATCTTCTGCCACCACTTATGTTATGTAATCCTGAGTTGAGATTCAGATTACATTTTTTGCTGCATACAGAGCAGATAGAGCAGGTGAATAAAACAGCAGGAGCACAAAACACTATTGCCTTAAAGAATGAGCTTACATTTGTCACAGTCAAAATTCTAAGAAAAATTGAGTAATGTCTAGCTGTGTGCCAAGCATGTAATTCAAATTGATTATTTTATATACATGGAGCCAGCATAACATGTGAATGTGGCCTGTGTTCCAGACAAAGCAGTGATCTCTGTTTGTATTTCTTGATTCCCATGAGCTTCCTTTTTGGCAACGTCCTGAAGAGTATTCAGCAGTATTTTTAGTATGACTTTCATGTTAGATTTTTTCTCACCTATATCATATAAAACCTGTAACTGCCTTTGCTTTACTTTGTTTAAATTCATTGCAATCCAAATGTTTTTTATTTCCTCATTGAATAAAAATATGCAATAACATACAGATAACTTTTAGTCTCATATTTGATCTAGTCCTCAGAGGATAGTGTCATTATTTTTGCATTTTTGCTCGTTTAAAAAAATGTTGCCTCAAGTCTTGATCTGAAATTATCCTGAAGCTGGACGTGCAACTCATATTTACAGAAGATGTGCTGTTAAGAGTATTTAAGGCCCCAAAGCCTGCAGAGTTTATAAAACAAAACAACAACCATGCCCGCCTTACTTATCCCACCTTTGGTGATTCAGAAAGCAGTAGACTCCACAGTCCAACCTGTCAGACAGCAACATCTCCCTTTTATTAGACACATAACATCAGCTCCATAATAATTGTTGACATAAATCTGATGTTTGTGTATATGTTTGTAAAACTATTTGACAACTTCATGAACTATCAGTTAATTGTTATTTGTAGACAAGACACTTAAAACAAGTAACAGCGGCATGAAAAACGGCCTTTTAGCGAGCAGAGACCTTGAGAAACCAGACTCATGTTGAACAGCAATCTCTTGGGAAGTGTGATGGAGGTGCAGAAAGAAAAGATGGAGACAAAATAATTGTAAAAGTATGTGTAGTATTGGTAGTAACAACAAAGAGTGGTAATAGACTCAGCATTCTAATATCAACAAGAAATTATAATGTCAATCCAATAGTGAGGACAAATAATGATAATACAGATAACTACTGTTGATATACCAAACTGATATTTACTTTCCCATATGAAGGGAAAACTTAAGTAGTAGTTGTGTTGTGGTCAACAGAGACTAAACTTCGATGGTATTTTTTGAGCTGAATGTTTTGCTGCTCTTACACACACTGTCCCATTGAAGAGCACCATTATAGATTGTGCACACATGAATTGAAATTCTCATTTAAATTTAATGAAACAATCTTTCAAAATCTGGAAGACCATGAAAAAAAACGTCTCATTTATTTT